GGACGAAGGCAATTTTGAGGACAACATTTGGGCTGGTATATTATGCGTGGTCTTCTTTTTCCTAATTATATCAGTGCTGGCATTTCCCAACGGTCCCTTTACACGACCTCATCCGGCGGTATGGCGTATATTATTTGGCTGCTCCGTATTGTACTTAATGGCTCTACAATTTCTAATGTTTCAAAATCACAAAACAATAATGAATATATTCTATTGGCTGGATCCCAAACTAAAAGATTTTCACATTAATATGGATAAAGTAAGTCATAATAATCTCCTGTCCACACTCTACTAAAACTGAACCTATTGCTCTCTGTCTTTTAAAAAGGAATACGGTGTCAATTGCTCAGATGTTTCCTTTGAACGTGTTAAAGGTCATTTGGATGTCTTTGCCTGGGGTCACTTTTTGGGTTGGGCTTTCAAGGCCGTCCTTATCCGTCACATGGGTATTTTATGGGCCATTTCTGTTATGTGGGAAATTACTGAAATTACATTTGCTCATTTATTGCCCAATTTCATTGAATGCTGGTGGGATGCTTTAATTTTGGATGTTTTGATCTGTAATGGTTTGGGCATTTGGGTTGGTTTGAAAATTTGCAAAATTTTGGAAATGCGAGAATATAAATGGGCCAGTATTAAGGATATTTCTTCGACTAGTGGTAAAATTAAGCGTGCCATGTTACAATTTACCCCCGAGAGCTGGACTGCTATTAGATGGTTGGATCCTAAATCAACTGCTATGCGTTTTGCTGCTGTTATTCAGTTGGTGATATTTTGGCAGGTGAGTTGAAAGAAATTTAAATAAATTTTCGAATTTTTCTTAAAAGGGAAATTTTGGAAACTTCTAAAAATAAGGGAATTTTTGAAAAAAAATATATGGAAATGAAGATTATATCAAGAATTTAAGAAAAATCGATAAACATTTTATAGAAATTGTTTTTAAATAAAAATTTCCCCTTAAGGGAAATTTTTGTAAACAAGAGAAATTTTTTTTATTTTGGAAATGGAAAATTTATCAGGAATATAATAAAAATCGATACAAATTTTATAAAAATTGTTTAAAACAAAAATTTCCCTTAAAGGGAAATTTTGCCAAAGAAGGGAAATTTTGTGCAATTTTATGGAATTGAAAATTTGATTAAGAATATTATAAAAATCAATAAAAATTTTATTAAAATTGCTTAAAACAAAAATTTCCCTTAAAGGGAAATTTTGATAAAGAAGGGATATTTTGAAATTTTTTGTGGAACTGGAAATTTTATCAGGAATATAATAAAAATCGATAAAAATTTTATTAAAATTGTTTTAAACAAAAATTTCCCTAAAGGGAAATTTTGCCAAACAAGGGAAATTTTGTGAAATTTTATGGAATTGGAAATTTTATTAAGAATAGTATAAAAATTAATAAAAATGTTATTGAAATTGTTTAAAATAAAAATTTCCCGTAAAGGGAAATTTTGATAAAGAAGGTAAATTTTAAAAAATCATTGTGTAAATGGGTATTTTATCGAAATATAATAAAAATTGATACAAATTTTATTAAAATTGATTAAAGCAAAAATTTCCCTTAATGGGAAATTTTTGAAAACAAGGGAAATTTTAAAATTTTTTGTGGAATTGAAAAATTTATCAAAAATGGAGTAAAAATCAATATTTTTATCAAAATTATTCAAAATAAAAATTTCCCTTAAAGGAAAATTTTTTAAAATAAGGGAAATTTTGAAATTTTTTTGTGGAATTGGAAATTTTATAAAGAATAGATTAGAATATTTTCTAAAGAAGATACTTTTCTTTAGAAATTTGTTTACAGAAGACACCTTTTATATAGAAAATAGTCTAAAGAAGACATTTTTCTATAGCAAATAGTCTAAAGAAGACACTGTTCTATAGAAAATTATCTAAAGAAAATACTTTTCTATAGAAATTGTCTAAAGAAGACACTTTTCTATAGAGAATTGTCTAAAGAAGCCACATTTCTATAGTAAATTGTCTAAAGAATACAATTTTCTATAGAAACGAGTCTTTTCTATAGAAAATTGTTAGTTAGTTTTCCATATAAAAACTTCTACCGAAATTAATTTTATTTTTAAATTTGTTCCATTAATAATTTTAAAATTTAATTTCTTTTCTTTCTCTAGGTTACTGAACTCAACACGTTCTTCCTTAAACACATCTTTGAAATGCCCCCCGATCATTATGTGGTTATTGGTCGTTTAATATTCATTGGTCTTTTTGTGGCGCCTTCAGTAAGGTATGTTTGTTTGTTTTCCATGTATTTGTCATAATCAAGATTTAAAACGCAAACATTTTCACTTTTTCAATTTCTAGACAATATTATACTTATGTTACGGATACACGTTGTAAACGTGTGGGTACCCAATGTTGGGTATATGGTGCCATTATGGTGTCCGAAGCGATTTTATGCATTAAAAATGGCAAAGAATTATTTGAACGCACGCAAGCTATAAATATTGTAATCTGGTTGACAGTACAAGTTATAATTTCGATTGCCTTTGTTTATGGTTGTATATTATGGCAGGTAAGGTTTAAGTTTTAAGGAAGAAAAAGGCGGGTTTTTAAATTATTTTTATATATATTTTCTAGCGCATGATGGATAAACGCAAGAGTAATAAGCAATTACAACAATCACCCTCAAAAAAAGTTAAAAGTTTGGAAAAACAACAATCAAAAGGTAAAAAATTTGTTTAGTTTCTTTTGGTTTATTAATTTTTGAAGCAGTTTTTAAGTTTTTAATAAAAAAATATTTGAATTTTCTTAAGTTAATTAAGAGAAACTTAAAATCTGTTTGATTTTTTATGAAGTTTAAACTTTTTGTTAAGATTTAGTTTAGTATTTTATTAACAATTGGTAATTTATATTTAATTTTTTATCATTTATATTCTTATAAAATGCAAAATTATGAAAGCACTTTCTATGATGCCCACCATGTGTCTGTGTATATGTGTGACTTTTTTAAGTTTTTTTTTTAAACAATTTTAATTTCTTCTAAAAGGGTTTTCTGCGAAGCTAAACTTTAAAATCTTCGTTTGAAAACCTCTCGTTAATGTTTCATTATGTTCATTATTCATTTGTTTTTTGTTTAAATAACAACAAACTTTTCTTTAAAAATAAACTCTTATTGTCAAATTATTTGTGTGTAATTTTCATGCTATCCTTTTCCTTTTATTTTACTTGTTTTTTTACTTTATTGAAAAAAAATATCTATCTACCGGCCAGGTCCCATTTACTATGTACATCCTAGAATCATAGAACATGCACGAGGAAAGTTAAATAAAACCATTAGCAAACATGTTGATATTGAAAGCACTCCTTATGATATTAAAATTAAAATTGTTTAATGAATTATTATTATTATTATCTTAATTAAAAAAATACCATTAATTATGTGTGTTTGTTTATAAGTTTTATGTTTTCTTTTTTTTTAATTTCATTGATAAGTTCTTTTTAACTAAAATTTAAGAAAACAATTGACAATATTTTGTATACAGTGCTAAATACTAATAATCGTACAAAGTTAGATTATAGACTAGGCTATAGACTAAATTATAGACTAGACTATAGACCAGACTAGAGACTTGATTATAGAGTAGACTATAGACTAGACTATAGATTATACTATAGACTAGACTATAGACTAGACTATAGACTAGGTTATAGACTAGACTATATACTAGGTTATAGACTAGACCATAGACTAGACTAAAGAATAGACTACAGACTAGACTATGGACTAGACTACAGACCATAGACTAGACTATAGACTAGACTATAGAATAGACTACAGACTAGACTATATATACTAGACAATATACACTAGACAGTAGACTAGACAATAGACTAGATTATAGACTAGATCAGACTGTAGACTACACCAGACTATAGACTAGACAAGATTATAGACTAGACCAGACTATAGACTAGACAAGATTATAGACTAGATTATAGATAAGACTATAGACTAGACTATAGACTAGACTATAGACTAGATTATAGACTAGACTATAGACTAGACTATAGAGTAGACTATAGACTAGACTATAGACTAGACTATAGACTAGATTATAGACTAGACTATAGACTGGACTATAGACTAGACTATAGACTAGACTATAGACTAGACTATAGACTAGACTATAGACTAGACTATAGACTAGACTATAGACTAGACTATAGACTAGACTATAGACTAGACTATAGACTAGACTATAGACTAGACTATAGACTAGACTATAGACTAGATTATAGACTAGACTATAGACTAAACTACAAACTAGACTACAGACTAGACTATAGATTAGATTATAGACTAGACTATAGACTAGACTATATACTAGATTATAGACTAGACTATAGACTAGACTATAGACAAGTCTATAGACTAGACTAAAGACTAGACTATAGACTAGACTAGACAATAGATTACAGACTAGACTATAGACAAGATAGACTATACTATAGACAAGACTATTATAGCCTAGTCTATAAAATGAATCACTAGACTATAGACTAGATTATCGACTAGACTATAGACTAGACTTTAGGCTAGACTATAGGCTAGACTACAGACTAGACTATAGACTAGACTAAATTCTAGACTATAGAATGGGCCACTATAGATTATAGTCTAAGAAAACAGTTTAAAGTTTACACTTGCTTGTAGAAAACTCTCTAAAGAAGACAGTTTTCTGTAGAAAATTCTCTAAACAAGACATTTTTCTGTAAAAAAAACTCTTTAAAGACAATTTTCTATAGAAAAATATCTAAAGAAGACACTTTTCTTTTGAAAATTGTCTAAAACTGATCCTTTCTATAGAAAATAGTCTGAAGTTGACTCATTTCTATAGAGCAATGTCTAAAGCATACACTTTTCTATAGACAACTTTCTAAAGACATTTTTCTATAGAAATGTAAATGTAAAGCAGACACTTTCCTGTTGAAAATTTTCTAAAGGAGACACTTTTTTATAGAAAAATGTTTAAAACAAGCCCATTTCCATAGAAAATTGTCTAAAGAACATATTTTTCTGTAGAAATTTGTCTAACCAAACAATTTCTGTAAAAAAATTGTCTAAAGCAAACTCTTTTCATTACAAAAATTTCTCAAAAAGAATTTTTTTAGAGAAAATGTATTTTTTCTCTAAGGGAAATCATCTATAGAAAACAGTTTTCTATGGAAAATTTTATAAAATTAATTTTTCTATGGAAAATAATATAAAGAAGATATTTTTTGTAAATAACTCTCTAAGAATGACACATTTCTCTAAAGAAGACGCTTTTATAGAGAAGTTCTATAAAGAGGACATTCTACTATGGAAAATTTTCTAAAGAAGACTTTGATTATCTAAAGAAGACACTATTCTATTGAAATTTGTCTAAAAAAAGAAATTTTTTTATTGAAATCTATAGGAAAATTATTTTTTTATAAGTTTTTTCAAAAATGTACGATTATTTGTTAAAAACACTGTATATAATAAATTTAAGTAACAATTTATACAAAAAAAAAACAAAATAAATTTTAAATATAGCACAATTTTCAGCTTAAGTTATTGTTATATTTATACTTTTTAACTTAAGTTTTTAAACTTTTAAATTTTATATTTTTTTATTTATGATTTCTTTTACATATTTGTTTTTTTCTTTCAATTCTCTTTTCTAGGCAAAATGTCACCCAAAAAATCCCCCAAACGCAACGACAAGAAGATTGAATAAATATTTAAGGAATTTTTTTGTTGAAAAAAAAAAATTCTTTTAAATGAACAAAAAACACATACAACACTTTTTCTCATAAACAAACAGCAACAATTTTCCCGTTTAAATATGATTTTCCTCTCTACATTACAAATTAACCCTACATTTAAACAAACTCAATATTAACACAAAAGCAACAATAATAGTTAAATTATTTTAGTTTAAACAACAACAACTTCCCAATTTTATAAAATAAGTTTAATTTATTAAAGAAAAAATCCTTAAATCATTTTGTTAATAGAAAAAAACTTGAAAAATATAATATTTAAACTCCTTAAGAACCAAAAAAAGAAAAAACAAAAACAACCACCATTTTACATTAAAACTTGATAAAAAAAATTGTCTTTAAATTAAAACAATATAATATATAAAATGCCTCATTCATATAAAAAAAAAGCTAAAGCTTAAAAAGTCATTTTTAAACCACCAAATATTTAAAACAAAAAATATCGTTACATAAAATTTAAATTTGTTTTTCTGAAAAAAATGTTAAACATTTTTGTTTTGTAAAATTCTTTAAACACTTCTTTCAAACTAGCCTTTTAGCTATTAAAATTATTATTATTTTTTTTTTTATTTAAAAATAATTTAAATTTATGAAATTATTAACTTTAGACCATAAATGTGTATATTTCATATATTATGAAATAATTCTTAGAGGTCTTCAATTTTTTTTTTAGTTTTTTTTTTTTTTGTAAAACATAATAAATTACAAATATTATTAAATTAATAAAAAATTAAAAAAAAAACAACAAAAACAAACTAGTGGATTTATTAATTAAAATATATAAATTTATAGCCTTTAATAACTAATTTACAAATTAAGCTTTTACTTAATAAGTGTAAAACAAACAAAAAATACAAAACAAACAACATTTTTGTGTGTGGGTATTGTGTTTAACAAGGCTTAAGTTTAAAATATATTTCTTTTTTAAGTTATTTATACTAGAAGAAAACCAAAAAAAGCAACTAAAATAAAAATGAACAAAAAAGTAATACAAAAAAACAAATTGCTGGATATATATTTTAAAATATTTAAATATTTTTTGTTAATTTTTCTGAAATTAGTTATAAAAAAAATAAAAAAAAAGAAATTTGAAAGTATAACTCAAAAGTTGTTTTATTTCAAGGTTAAAAATGGTCTCATTCTAGAGACAATTTCCTATAGAAAATTTATTTTCAATCAATGTTAAAGAAATGTTCTCTCAAGAAAACTTTTTATAGAAAATTTTTCTATAGAAAAGTATCCTCTTGTGTAACAATTCTTTATAAAAAATTTTCTATAAAAAAGTGTCTTTTTACAAAGTTTCCTATAGAAAAATAGTATTCTTTAGGTAATTTTCAGTAGAACGAGTCTTTTGTAAACAAATTTCTATAGAAAGGTCTTCTCTAGGTACATTTTTTCTATTTTCATTTAGAAGTTCATTTAGCTAGTTTTCATTTACAAAATTTTCTATAAAAATGTGTCTTCTTTAAACAAATTTTTGTATAGAAAAGTATCTTCTTCATATAAATTATTCCTATATAATAGACTTCTTTAAAAAGTTGTGTAAATTTCTATAGCAAATTGTCTTCTTTACAATTTTTTCTATAGAAGTGTCTTCTCTGCAAAATTTTCTACAGAAAAAAAATATATTTTTACAAAATGTTCTATAGAAAAAGAGTATTCTTTAGACAATGTTCAATGGAACGAGTCTTTTGTAAAAAAATTTCTATAGAAAAGTTTCCTCTTGATACATTTTTTCTATTTTCATTTAGAAAACAGTTTTATTTCATTTACTTCTTTAACTTATTTTCATTTACAAACACTTTTTTCTTTTAATTTCTTTCTACTGCTCCCTTAAGGGAAAAGTTTAAGTTTAATATTGTACAATTTTTTCTTTTCATTTCTATGTTTTACTCTTAATAGAATTAAAATACTTACCTGGTTTTGAGAACAACATCCAAAATAGCTGAAATTAAAAAAAAAAATTATTAATTAAACTTTTATTACAAAATATTTTAATATTTATTTTTTAATATGATTGTGGGAGGGAATTAAGACTAAACTGTAAATACAATATTATTGTTAAAGTAAAGCTAAAGCTTTGTTTTTTGTCATAAAGTTTCCGAAAAATTTATATTTTTGAAAACCATTAAATACTTAAGGAAAAAAACAAAATTTGAACTTGAAGCCAAAAATACTTGAAAGAAAATACTTTTTTTAAAAGGTGCAGTTTTAGAGAAATGTAAAAGAAATAACTTTAAATATTAAAAATGGCATTGTGTAATAAATCTATAAATATGATTAATATTTGTGCAAAATTAAGAAGAAAAAAAATTTGTAAATTTAATATACAAAAAAAAAATAGAACTTAAACATCCAAACAAGCAGAAACAGTCTTCTTAACAGCATCTCTAGCATACGGTATGTATGATAAAGAATACCAAGTCATAGCTAATGATTGTATAATAATAAAAATTAAGGTCAAGCCGGGTTTATGTAACTAGAAAAAAAAAAATAAACAAAAATATGTAAACAAAATATAAAAAAAATTAAAACAAAAAATCATACCACAATGGCTGCAATTAAAGTCATGATAAGAGAAAATATAACAATGCATGTGGCTATTAAACGCGTATCAGAAAACATTTTTTTCAATTGATTAAAAGGACCCATGAGAAAACAAGTACTTTAAACAAAAAAAAAAAAAAAATACAAAATTATAATTATAATGAAATTTGATTATTTTATGAAGTATTACCTGGTCATTGATATAATGTTGCCTAGAGTATAGAATACCGCAAATACCACTAGACCACGATGTAGAAAGAGAGCTATAGAACCCAATAGGGATAAAACTATGCCCAAAACAAAACATATACAAAACCCCTTAATGCGCGTAGACCAACTTAAAGTAGACATATCATTGATCTAGAAAAATATTGAGGGAAAAACGAAGCAAGATAATGAAAGATTTAATAGAGTTATTGAAAACAAAAATTTAGAGAATTTTGAAATTTGCAATGAACATTTTTGGTGGAAATTTTGAATGAAAATGATTAATGAATTTTTAATGAAAATTCACAAATTTCTACAGAAAAATATCTTCATTAGCTAATTTTCTTTAGAAAGGTGTATTTTAGAAAATTTTAAATAGAAATGTGTTTTTTTTTTATAAAATTTTCTATAGAGAAGTATCTTTTAGACAATTTTCTATAGAAAAGTGTCTTCTTTTCACAATTTTCTAAAGAAAAGTGTCTTCTTTTGACAATTTTCTATAGAAAATTGTATTCTTTTTAGAATTTTCTATGAAAAAGTGTCGTCTTTTTACAGTTTTCTATAGAAAATTGTCTTTTTTTTAAATTTTTTATAGAAAAAGAGTCTTTTTTGCAATTTTCTATAGAAAAGAGTCTTCTTTTTAGAATTTTCTATAGAATAGTGTCTTCTTTTCACAATTTTCTATAGAAAAGTTTCTTATTTAGTCAATTTTACATAGAAAAGTGTTCTTTTTAGGCAAGTTTCTATAGAAAGTGTGCTCCTTAGACAATTTTCTATATAAATGTTTCCTTTATAGACAATCCTCTTAATAAGTCTCTTTACAAAATATTTAGTTCTTGAACAATTTTCATAGAAAAATTTCTTTTTTAGACAAATTTTACAGAAGAGCCTTTTTTAGAAAGTTTTTTTCTTCTTTAGACAATTTTCTATAGAAAAGAACTTCTGTAATCTACTTTCCATAGAAAAGTTTCTTCGTTTGACAATTTTCTAGAGAAGCTTCGTTTTTATGACAAATTTCCAAAGAAATCAGACACCGCTAAACAAATTTTTAAAGAAATTTTGAAAAAATTTCCTAAGTGATCATAAAAAAATATAATGACATCTTTGATAAGACAGCATCCATAAAATTCTTATAAGAATGCATTTCCAAACAACAGCAGCTCTAATCTAAGAACTGACTCATATCTTACAAGTATTCTAACCTCGAAGCCTTTACCCCGTTTGCAGGAGGAAAGCCCACAAGTCGTCACGATATACTCCCCCAAATAGCTGGCTTACTAAAAAACATTACATTGGGGGAGTCGTCTCATTGTTATTTTGCTTTTAGTATAGGTATTTACCTGTGTTATTATGCTGCTTTCTTCTTCGGGTGTGCGATCATCACCGCTTAAAACTCGACGCAATTTATCCATGTTTATTTGCCTTTACTTAAGAAAATTAATATAATTTACACAAATTTCTAGTTGTTAACTTATTAACACTTGTTTAGGCGATAATATTTGTGAAGTTAGGTTATTATTAATAAGAAAAAAAATAAATTTAATAAGAACTGAAAAAGAAAACACAAAAATTTGTAAAGAAATTAATACAACTGAAATGTCAAACGTATTGTTGTTTTTGTGTAGTAGAAGTGTTGCTAAGTGTTGCGGATAATGTTTGTGTAGAAGTAGTGTTGTAAAGTGTTTGATTTTGGGAAATAACCGTAAAAAGGAGTTGCCGGACTAAGATTTTTTAATGCAATATTTAAATTTAAAGGGGAAATGCTTAAAATTCCATTAAATCATTTAAATATCTCTAAAATTTTAAAAAAAATTGGTTATTTAGATACAAATTAGAAATTTTCTTGAAATCTTATAAATGACATATTTATTTAACAAAAAATTTTAAAATTTTTTCATTTTATTCCTTTTTAATATTCCTTATAAATAAAAAATTTTGTTGATTTTTTTATTATAATTTAAAAATATTGTATGTTTATTTTCATATATACCGCTACTTCACATTTAGTTTTTTTTGTTTTAATTATTATTTAAATATGTATGTATTAAAACATTAATTACTAGCATATTTATTAAAAATTCAGCGAAACCTGGTTTCGTTATAAATTCTATATACACACATGTATGATAATTATAATAAGAGTAATGGATATAAAGGAAAAAAGAACTAAATAAAATAAGAATCTAAAAATATTAACATAAATTTAATTTAAGTAAAAAAACTAAAAACTACTATAACAAAGTCAACCAAACAAAGGATTGCAAAACTTATTTTGAATAAAAAGGAATCTAAAGAAATACAAAATTTCACTCAATGGAATCGGCAGGATTGGATTTCTCATCCGAAGTCTTAGATGAGGAATCCGAAGAAGAATGAGCAATATCCACTAAATCGACAGTATCACCCACAGAGGCAGTGTTGGCAGCTTCTACCACCGAATAGCCTATATCCGCTGGAGTGCCCTCCGGATAGCCCAAATAATAGTCAGCTATACGTCCCGCTTCACGTAGACCACTAAGGAATGCTCCATGTACGGTGGCGGGATAGTTGCGTATGGTATGTTCGCCGGCAAAGAAAAGGCGTGGCAGTTCATCTAGTTCTTGATTGGGATTAGGATTGTTGGGGTTGGGTGGTATAACTGGAGCAGCTAGAAGATCATAATCACTGCCAGAAGAACCCACCGAAACGAAACTGTAGGAACCTCTTGCCCAGGGATCAGCACGCCAGCGTGTTACCACCGTCTCTTTGGGTTGGGGCACTGAACCATTACCGAATATACATTTCAATACAGCTATACAACGTCCCACAATAACATCATCCGAAACATTTTCCATTATGGCAGCCGATTGGCCCGCCACCAGAGCCAATAAAACCGGTGACGATGAAATACTCCAGAATAGAAACAATTCACCACGACTGGCAGTGGTACTGCCTACATGACCAAACAAATTAGTATTAGGATCCCAGAAAATACGATCAAAACACAAGACAACTTTATTTAAATTGCCAAAACCCAAACGCTGTATAGCCTGTTGTTTCCAATCGGGCAGCGGTGGTTCAAATTTCACCGTATTCGTTTGTTGAGATTGCACTTTGGCGGTGGCTATTTTCAATACACCCAGTGTTAGGGTACACAAAACCAAATCAGCTTTATAGGTTACTGAGGAATTATTGGTTTTTAAGTTTTCCGCTACTATCTCCACTCCTGTAGGGAAATATTTTATAGTTTTCACTGCCGTATTAACACGTATATCGAGACCCTCGGTTAGGGCTATGGGTACACAGGAATAACCATTGCGTACGGTGGTATGATTGCCTATAAATTCGAAATCATCATCTTGATCCCAATGTTTGAGCGACAAGTTGCTGAGCGGAGTGGCATTGGCAAACTCGAGATTGGCAAAATGCCAATCTAAGATCTGACGATCTTTTGAGGATAAATAAACGTCACTGCAAGGAAGAGGATAAAACATAAACATAAAATTTCATAAAATAATGACAAGAAAAATGCAATCTTGGATTAGGGAAAATTAAGCTGGCATCACTGTTTGGATGTTATCAGTATTTTTTCTACTCTCTTTTCTAATAATCAGTGATGATAACTTTTTGTAGTTATAAAAAACGCCTAATGAACAAAAATTTAAAAACGTTCTAAAGAAAAAACTGTCATGCCACAGATTTTTTATTAAAAAAAACTGTTATACACATAATGTTCTATTAAAAAACTGTTATACACAATTGTTGTCTATTAAAAAACTTTTATATACAAGTTTTTTTTTATAGATGAAATGTTATACACCATTGTTTCCCTAGCAGCAACTATTATAACCAAAATTTTCTAATGAAAAACTGTTATACATATTTTCTATAGAAAAAGTGTTGTATACCATTTTGTTATTAAAAAAACTACAAAAGATTTTTCAATACAAATACTTTCCACTAATACCAACAGTTATAACCACAATTTTTATGAAATTTACAATAAATAAGTTATCTCTCACCTGGGCGGGTTGGCTTCCAATTCCTTTAGTTTATTCTGCAGCATTTCATCCTCTTTCATTAGCTCTTCATACAGTTTACCTGCCTTCGACCATTCATAATAGGTGGAACGTGTTTCAAATTCATGCTCTATATATGTATTATCCGCTTCCCCACTGCGGGTGGGACGCGTGCGTAGTAGCTTGGCATGCAACTGCTTTAAATGATTGATGCGTTGTAAAACTTCTGATATTTTCGTTTGACTTTCTATGATGGCCTTTTGGGCTTCACAAAGTTGAGTTAAATGTTGTACTTGTTTTTCTTTGACAGCCTTTTCCTGGAGTTTTATAATCCACTCTAAAGCCTGGCCCAAGGAGACTGGGTTATTGCCAGCATAATTGAAATCCAATTGATGCGATAGATAACTGGCTGATTCTAGTAGACGATTAAATTCACGCTCCACCATATCATCTTTATGTTTGGGCACCGGCTTGCCGCCGGCCCCGTATAAAGGACAGGCTTGTCTGATAGGAACCATTTCCATGCCTACTTGTTTGCTTAAAATGGTCATGGGATTACCCCACACCCCGGTAACAACCATGGCGCCCAAGTCAGCTATATAGTTATTTTTGCGAAAGGTGGCTATGCGTCCTCCTACCCTATCTCTAGCCTCTAGTACTATAACATCCATGCCAAATTGCTGTAATTGTTGGGCAGCCGCCAACCCGGAAATGCCGGCTCCTATAACAATAACTTTGCCTAGTTTTTTGACGGGTATAGGGCGCAAACGTTTGAATATACCAAAATTAATGAAACCATGACGTTCCAAAAAGGAATGTATACGCTTAACTAGATTCGGATCACTGTCAAAGGGTGGTTCCATATCTTTAATGGCATTTTCTAGTATAAGCTGTTGTTTGGGATTTTCTATCCACATTTGCAATAAACGATTGCGTATATTAAGGAACACTCTTTGAGCTACTAGCCCAGTTTTGGTGATATCTGGAAAACAAGCCGCCTCATTAGAAGTCATTTTATCAAAGGGTAAGCGAGACTGAAAGGCAGCACCCTCCAAACCGGTTAGAATCTCTTTATAGGCTTCGGCAGCTGCTGCCGCAGCTTCTCGGGGATCGGTTATCTCTTTGGCAAAGGGACTTTTTAAGGAATCTGATTTTTTAGTTTTTGTTTCTGATTTAGTGCTGGCAGAACCCAACAAATTATTACCCAAATTACCCGAAGAGGGAGTGGCAGGTTTTTCATCATTTGCATTGTTAGTAGTAGTCTTATTGGTATAATCCACTCGAGGCTTTATGCGCCGACTTGTACGTCTTTCTTCGGCAGTGCGCTGAGCATCATTGGAATCCTCGTCTCCTGTGCATTTCTTAATACCACTATTATTTAAATTACCTGCTGCTGCCCCTGCAGCTGATTTACGTTTAGGTGAAGGTTCGGTATCGGAATCATCACTTATTAGGGTAACACATTCTATGGGTTCTATATTGCCTATAATTAATTTCCCTTTGGATTCATTTTGAGTTGTAGCTGCTGAGCCGGCGGTGGTAAGAGGTGACGTTTCATTGGGACACTGGTTTAATTCATTCGAAAGAAAAGTATCACCCGTATCCGTGTTACTGTTAGACATTTTATTTGTTTTTAGTTCTTTTTTTATTATATTATATAGAATTTGGTATTTTTAGAGTTATTTTATTAAAAAAAATTAAAAAATTTTCACTAAATTTTTTCGCGTTTTTTTTCTTCATAAGCTTTGTTTATTTGCTGCTTCTTGTTACTATTTGCTATTCACAAAGAAATGTTAGCTCAAGTGAGTGATGGTAAAAAGAGTTACCAGACTTTGTAAATAAATATTAGGGGATAGAAATAATTTAAAGAACATAACGGTTTTTAAAGAGAAATGAGGGAAAAGAGAATGTAACGTTTAATATGCTACACTTAAAGAAATTTTTGACTAAATTTATAAAAAAATAATACATGTCTATAGTAATAATAGAGTAAATTATGTTTTTTACAATTATATTTTCTTTTTCTTTAGCAAATTTAAAATAACTTATAATAATATTCGAATTTCATTAAAGTTTTATGAACATTTTATAAAATCTTTACGAAAACTTTATAAAAATATTAGAAAATTATGAAAATTTTAGAATTTTATGACAAATTATTAAAAAATATTAGAGTTTTATTAAAAAAAAAATAAGAATTTTACGAAAATGTTATATAAAAATTAGAATTTCATGAAAATTAATAAAAATTTTAAAACTTTATGAAAATATTTAAATAATATCAGAATTTTAAGAAAGTTTTTCAAAAATATTAGAAAAATGAAAATAAATTTTATGGAAAACATTATAAAAAAAATTTTATACATTTTGCAAATATATTAAAATTTTGTGAAAATTTTATAAAAATATTAAAATTTTTTGAAAACTTTATAAAAAATATTAGATTTTTATAAATATTTTATACAAATATTAGAACTTTATGAAAATTTTATAATAAAAATATTAGAATATTATCAAAATATTTGAATTTTATAAAAATATAATTTTTTTATGAAAATGTTATAAAAACATCAGAATTTCATGAAAGTTTTTTAAAAATTTTTGAATTTAATGAACTTTTTACAAAAGCATTAGATTTTTATAAAAATTATATAAAAATATTTGATTTTTATGACAATTTTATAATAATATTAAAATTTTATAAAAATTCTATGAAAATATTAAAATTTAATGAAAAATTTTTGAAGAGTAATGGAATTTTCTATGCTAATTTAATTTTTAAGTTTTATTGTTAAAAATCTTCATTTAAGTTATTATTAACTACATACACCTTACTTATCTTGATGTGACAAGTGTTTAACACCAAATTTCCCTCTTTACTTCAACAATTAAATCAAATTATTTTTTTTATTAATAATTGATAAGTGCTCCATATTTTTTTTGCGAATAAAAACTATAGGAGTCAATGAACCCTTAATAGTTTTACGTTAAAATAAAAACAAATAACTGAACCCGCAGTCAGCCAAAATTTAATAGTAATAAATCTTATCTTTAGTATGCTATCTAACTGTGTCAAACTATTTTTTTTTTTTTCACCCAAAAAGTAGTAGTTATATGAAAATTTTATGATTAATAAAAAAGAACTAAAAGTTTTAAAGTATTTTAATAAAGATTTTTTTTTCAAAATAACGAAAGCTTAAAAAATTTAAGATGCATCTTAGATATCAATTTTTTCTTCCAGTTACTAACAGCTTCTTTAGTTGGATCTTAATTTGTGGAAGTATTTCTGTTTCAGGATTTTCTTATAACAGTCAATTTTTCATAAAAAATGATCTAGAATCGATTTTCTTTGATTTTTTAAGGAATTACAATAAAAATTATCACAGTTTAAGCACTTTTTCCTAATTGTTTCAAAATTTTAACCAACTACAGTTGATTTAAAGTTTTCAATACAAAAAATTAATCTGGTATTTTTCTTTAAACTAAATTTATTTAAAACTTTAAAATTAAAGCAAATTTGTATGTATATTTTCATCAAAAATCTTCATTAAATTTCAATTCAAATTAAAAAATATAACCACCAACTCAAAATTACTTACAATTCCCCAAAAAAAATCTTATCCAAAAACTCTTTTCTCAAACATTGAAATATAAATGCAGAAGAAAAAACAACAAAATTTCGAAATTATTCACAAAATACGTCAAAAATATACAAATTTACATACCTTTAACAAAAGTTCATTGACTTACCTCCAAAATATTCATCAACCAACCAACTTAGTATTGAGAAAAAACAATAAAAACAAATAATTTTGACCTACTTTTGTAAAAAAAAAGTAAAAAATTGTTGAGTTTTTTTTTTCATATGACCAACTAACCAAAAGACCCAAAATGAAAGCAGCAAAGAGCCAGCCAACAACAAAACCCCAAAGAAAAGTTCAATGAATTTTTAGACAAAAGCTTAAGGTTTTTATGTAATAGTTTCAGAGGCTGATAAATTTATAAAAAATAAAATTATATACAAAAATTTTTTACTTAAAAAAGTGAAAGTGTCATTTTGGTTGAAGAGTGCGTGATGAATTTTTTTGTGTGTAGTACATTAAAGGCGCGTTTCATTATAATTTTGGGGGAATAAAGTTTATTGAACTTTTTGCTTTTTTTTGGAATTTATGAAAAGAATGGTTTTGAATTTTTGTTTGATAGTAAAGATTTTTTAGGGTGTATTCGTTTTTTAAAGCTAATAGTTCGCAGTGAATAACAGGATATGTTTAAGATTTTGACGTTTGTGTGTTTACAAACAAAAAAATAAATAACGTTTTTTTTTGTAATAGATTCATTGTATGAGAATTTTAAAGTTAAATTTTAGATTAATACATATTTTAAATAGAAATTGAATCAGACCTGAATTAGAACTGAGCTAGAACTGAGCTAGAACTGAACTAGAACTGATCTAAAACTGAACTGGAATTAAATTAGAACTTAACTAGAAATGAACTAGAACTAAACTAGAACTGAACAAGAACTGAACTAGAGCTGAACTGAACTGAACTAGAAATGAACTAGAACTGAACTAGAACTGAACTAGAACTGAACTAGAACTGAACTAGAACTGAACTAGAACTGAACTAGAACTGAACTTGAACTAGAACTAGAACTGAACTAGAACTGAACTAGAACTGAACTAGAACTGAACTTGAACTAGAACTGAACTAGAACTGAACTGGAACTGAACTAGAACTGAACTAGAACTGAACTAGAACTGAACTAGAACTGAACTAGAACTGAACTGGAACTGAACTAGAACTGAACTAGAACTGAACTAGAACTGAACTACAACTGAACTAGAACTGAACTAGAACTGAACTAGAACTGAACTAGAACTGAACTAGAACTAGAACTGAACTAGAACTGAACTAGAACTGAACTAGAACTGAACTAGAACTGAACTAGAACTGAACTGAAACTAAACTAGAACTGAACTAGAACTAGAACTGAACTAGAACTAGAACTGAACTAGAACTGAACTAGAACTGAACTGGAACTGAATTAGAACTCAACCATCACTGAACTAGAACTGAGCTAGAACTGTACTAGAACTGTACTAGAACTGAACTAGAACTGAACTAGAACTGAACTAGAACTGAGCTAGAACTGAACTAGAACTGAACTAGAACTGGACTAGAACTGAACTAGAACTGAACTAAAGAGCAAATTATAGAAATTGATAACATTTGTGCATATTTTAAAGGACATTTTTGATAAGGGCTTTTTAGAAAGGGATAAATCTTTAACGAACATTTTAAATTTTTTCTTCAAAAACAAAGCTTTTTGATCAATAATTTATTTTCATTATTTCCATATTTCCTCTTTACCTTGCTATAAAATATTTAAACATAATCATAAAGTTTGTGATTTTTCTCACTAGAAATGTCATTGTCACGGTCATTATGCAACAACGCACAAAGTTTCAAATGTCTAGAATCTAGAAAAACAATAATTTTGATAAAAACACAAAAGACTAAAACGCACGTATCGAAAAAAAAGCATTAGAATCGAAGTCATTACCCCCATTCAAGGACAAATCGTATAAATTGTGCAAAGCTTTTTTTATGCAATCCCAATATAGAATGATAAGTGCGTTGGAATACATATACAAAAAAACGTCAACTTTTGGCGCCAATTCTAACCATTATTCTAACCTCTACCAATGCAATTAATTGAGTGCAAACAACAATAATAATAATAATAGCGAAATAAAAAGCTTAACAAAGAGAGTATAAAGATCAGTTATAGACAAAAAAAAAGCTTATCAACTACACGTGGTCGCTCTAAATGTAGAAAATAACACAACTCATTATGGTCTGGTCAATGCACCAATTCAAGGACAAATTTCTAAACATGTCACCATAATAGCACTGTCACAAAATGCGTCCATTAGCCATAGATAAATGTTTAATAATAATTTAAAACAACAATAAAAATGAATTGTTTATAAAGCTAGTTTTTTTCAGTTAAACATTTTGAGTCATTTTTTCCCCCAGAAACTAATAATATGCTTGCATTTATTAGAAGAGCGAGAGAGCTTAATGATCTCTCTTTAGAACTTTGCAAGTTTATGTCATTTTAACACCTTTATTGCTCTCTCCTCTAACTTTTTGTTCAAAGAGGGGGTGTGTTTTTTTTGCATTTGAAAGGTAATTGCACTTTTCTATTGTTAGTCCAAAAAAAAAGAAATAAATAAATAACAATTGCAATCAATTGTCATTTTTGCGCAAAAAAATATAAAAATTATTATAGCTGGGGCTTTTTTTTTAGAAAAAAGTTCATTAACCTGCTAAACAACTCATATCCCCTTAGCAATAATATTATTCTTATAAAAATAAATATTTTATTTTAATTGGCAATAATGTCATGTTTGCATTAGATATCTAATTCTATTAGTTGCATTTATTTGTTTAATGATTTATGGCAAATGTTAGAAATTCAGTTTTGTGGCGGCACGGCGGGCATCATGCTGTCACGATGTCCACAAAACCACTTGATTTGTTAAGTTCAATAACTTTTTTCCTATGCCAAGGTGAAAAATGCATCACACAGTGGGTGAATTGGCAGAAAAGAAATTATATCAATGTAGAGGCTTTTAAGAACTTGGAACTGAAATAGATGTAAACTTGAACGGAGTGAGAACTAAATTAGAACTTATGAACAAGAATTGAACTAGAACTGAAATAGAATTAGAACTGAACCAGAACTGACCTAGAACTGAACTGGAACTAAACTAGAACTGAACTAGAACTAAAGTAGAACTCAACTGGAACTAAAGTAGAACTGAACCCAAACTGGAACTGAACTAGAACTTATGAAGAAGAATTGAAAAAGAACTGGACTAGAACAGAACTAGTACTGAACTAGAACTAAACTAGAACTGAATTAGATATATAACTGATCTAGAACTAAATTCGAACTGAACTAGAATTGAAATACAACTAAACTAAACTAGAACTGAACTAGAACTGAACTTGAACTGAACTTGAACTGAATTAGAACTGAACTAGAACTGAACTAGAACTTAACTAGAACTGAACTAGAACTGAACTAGAACTGAATTAGAACTGAACTAGAACTGAACTAGAACTTAACTAGAACTGAACTAGAACTGAACTAGAACTGAACTAGAACTGAACTAGAACTGAACTAGAACTGAACTAGAACTGAACTAGAACTGAACTAGAACTGAACTAGAACTGAACTAGAACTGAACTAGAACTGAACTAGAACTGAACTAGAACTGAACTAGAACTGAACTAGAACTGAACTAGAACTGAACTAGAACTGAACTAGAACTGAACTAGAACTGAACTAGAACTGAACTAGAACTGAACTAGAACTGAACTAGAACTGAACTAGAACTGAACTAGAACTGAACTAGAACTGAACTAGAACTGAACTAGAACTAGAACTGAACTAGAACAGAACTGGAACAAGAACTGATCTAGAATTGAACTAGAACTGAACCAGAACTAGAACTGAACTGAACTAGAACTAGAACTAGTACTGAACTAGAACTGAACTAGAACTGAACAAGAACTGAACTAGAACTGAACTAGAACTTAACTAGAACTGAACAAGAACTTAACTAGAACTGAACTAGAACTGAACTAGAACTGAACTAGAACTGAACTAGAACTGAACTAGTACTGAACTAGAACTGAACTATAACTGAACTAGAACTGAACTAGGACTGAACTAGAACTGAACTAGAACTGAACTAGAACTGAACTAGAACTGAACTAGAACTGAACTAGAACTGAACTAGAACTGAACTAGAACTGAACTAGAACTGAACTAGAACTGAACTAGAACTGAACTAGAACTGAACTAGAACTGAACTAGAACTGAACTAGAACTGAACTTGAACTGAACTAGAACAGAACTAGAACTGGAACAAGAACTGATCTAGAATTGAACTAGAACTGAACTAGAATTAAACTAGAACTGAACTAAAACCAAATTGGAATTGATCCAGAACTTATGATGAATAATTGAACTAGAAGTGAAATAAAACTAAACTGGAACTGAATTAGAACTCAGCAAGTATTGAACTAAAACTGAGCAAGTACTGTACTACAACTGAATGCGAGTTATACTAGAACTGAACGAGAACGGATCTAGGACAAGAATTGAATTAGAACTAAACCGGAACTAAACTAAAACTGAATAACAACTGAACTAGAACCGACCTAGTACTGAACTAGAACTGAATGTTAGCTAAACTAGAACTGAACTAGAATTGAACTAGAACTGAACCAGAGCTGAACCAGAACTGAACAGGATTTGAATAAGAGCGGAACTGAAACTGAATTAGAACTATACTAGAACTTATATAGAACTAAAGTAAAATTGAAGGATAACTGAACCAGAACTAGACTTGGATGAGAACTGAGCAAGAATTAAATGAGACCTTAATTAGAACTGAGCAAATGTAAATAATAAACTTTATCACGCTACAAATATGAAAATCGGTTGATAATTTCTTACAGAACTTTTTAACGGAAAAATTAGTGTTTGTATAAGAAAATCCGATAAATTGAGAATCAGACGAAATGAAAATCGAAGTTATTTATTTGATTTGCTACTGGCTGGGCCTGTTGGAATGAAGAATTAAGACGGTAAGTAGATACATTTTGCAAGATCTATTCAAAAGATTTAAAATTATTAAAATTTTAATACTTTTAAATAAATTTCCCATTAAAATAATAGAAAATAATTTCACTGTTCATATTCAAGGTAGAAATTGACGAATATAGGCTTCATTTACGGAATAGGTTTCTAAACTTAAAATTTCTTAATATAATCTGAAAGCAGCTTTAGCAAAACAGGGAACAGTTTTCCTACTCAATTATGTTAATGTTAAAAGAATAGTTTTTGTTAAAAAATCCCCAACTCTTGAGAGTTATAAAAAACTATTTTGTTTAACAAAATAGTAATTGCTCTTCCCCTCTAAAAAAAAAGCCCAAAATATGAGTAGATTGAGTATTCAAGAGATTGTTATAAACAAAATCATGATAAGCTTTTTTTTATTATTGTTGTTCCCTCAGTTGTTGACGCTGACAGTAGTACAACAACTATTAATTTACTATAAATACCTCAACAGAAAAATGCAAACCCCAACAGTTGGCTAGAAAGCATCGATCCGTAAACAAGCGAAAGAAATCAATAAATTTCGGCGCGGGAAAACTTTTACTACTGCAACTAATCAAAAAAAAAAAAAAAAAAAAACATAAAAAAAAATCTGTGACGACAAACTGTGATAACAAAAAACCAATTAAAATGTCGGATTCTAATAATAATAGTATAACTGATATAAAACAAAATAATAACTCCTCCTCTGCCGTCCATATAACGGGTAATAGTGAAATTTTAACAAAATTCTCGCCGAAAATATTTGAAACTTATAAAAAATTAGCTTTAGAGAGAGGCATACTCTCGTATGAATTAAACGCCCGGCCGGTATCGGGTGTGGGAGAGAACTCTTATGGTTTTATTTTACAAGTCTGTGTAAAAGCCACCAAAATGTTGGAAACGCCGCCAATGCCCGATAAAAGTTTTGTTACCATATTAAAAATATCACCCAAAAATCCCGCTTTTCGGGCCCATAGTCGTATAGTGGATCTCTATAAAAGAGAAGTGTTTATGTATCAACAAGTTTTTGCAGAATTTCGGCAATTAGAACAGGAAAGACTCCAAGAATTGAACTGTGTTAATGAAGTCCAACTTTCCAAAAAGAATAACTTCGATATAGTACCTGAAATACTCTATGCCAATTTGGATTTAGAAGATGAATTCATTATATGTGAAGATTTAACTTTAAGTGATTTTAAGCAAAATTCACGCACAAATATGCCTTCATATGATTTGGTTTGTGCCACCTTTCGTTCCATAGCCAAAATGCATGCCATGTCTTTTGTTTTGCAATATCGCAAACCTGAACTTTTCCTAAAATTAACCCAAGAAATGAGTGATAATCTATTTACTGCCGATATGGAACCTTTAACAGTGGAATTTGGCAAAAGATATATAAGACGTACGAGCGCCATGTTGGAGCAGGATTCGAATTCATCGAGTAAACAAATAGAGGCTTTGAAGTACTTGGAGTGTAATTTTAAAGAGATCTGTTTGCAGTGTGTAGATGGCCAGAGGGTGGCTCCGTATGCTGTTCTATGTCATGGAGATTTTTGGAATAATAATATTCTTTATAAATATGATGTAAGTATGAGAAAGATTTGTAAAAGTTTCCTAAAGGAATTGGGGATTTAATTGAATTTTGGTTTAAAGCCAATGTAGGAGTAAAATTTGGTGAAATTTTTCGTTTGCTTTCGTTATAAAGACGCCATAGAGCTCTTATCCTGGCTTTTACTTTGTTATAGTAGTTTTCTCAAAGGTCCTCAATATAGAACTTTATTTAAGTAATTAACTCTTCATTCGATCTTAACTTTCGAGTTATTTCTTTGGGATTCATATATTACTTTCCTTCGAGGTCTTCAAATATAACTTTGTGTGTGTTATAACCTCTTCATTCGATTAAAGTCTCTTAAGTCCAAGTTATTCCTTTGGGATTCAATGCTGGAAATTAACCATTGGGGACTTATAGAAAATATTCTTTGTCGAATTCGAACATATTTGACTTCAAATCAAGATCAGGTCTCTTCAAGAACTTTAAAAGATATTCGCTGTTCCATTTCAAGAAACCTAATTGGTCATATCGCCATGATCAGCATGATATCTAATTGCACAGCATGTTATCACCCATAATCTCGACTGTTTCTTGGTCTTTCGAATTCTGAGTAAATATCACACTAATACTCATTTAAAGATTGACAATGATACCGCATGAAACACAAGAGGGCCATTGTCATCACCTTATCGCCCGACAGATCTACTTTGTTCTTTATCAATAAACGTTCTCGCAATTAATCTCGCCAGATTCGACTGTTTCTTAGACTATATTGCATTGTGATGGATTAATGGGCACATGATCTTTCCATTCACTTTGGCCTTTTATCGATCAACGTTTTCCCTTGATCGAATAGATGGTGTCTTGGTCTCTGGTGAGTTCTGATGGTTTAGCGGAAAAACTGCTGAAACTGATAATCTTCACTTTCAACGCTGAACGATTGGGAGAAGAAATAGTTTTTTTTCATTTTTAAATCTTCCTTTAAAACGTGATGTAACCTCGGCGTTCAGATGTGTATAGAATCCGCCACCTCAAGCACTTTCATTTCACGACTGCTGAACATCATTGCACGGATACAATTTAGATTACCAATCACCAACAAAAAACTGAATCGTAAGAAAAAGAAGAAGCAATTCCATTTCGTTTCAATGCTTTACGAGTGTGTGTATTCTGCGTTACGATAGTACCTACGTTTTTGTAAGTTGTTGTTTATGTGGCGGAGAGTCGAATCGAAATGCAGAATACCAAAGTTGCCAAACGAAGAAAATGGTCTTCGATTGGCCCCTATTTCGGAATAGGGGCCAATATGTTAGTGCGAATCCAAAAATCGAGAATCTCAAATCTTGAAATTGTGGGTTTCATAAATGATCCTTATCAGATCTAATCAAATGATGACTTGTTAGAACCAGCATTATTACGCATTTAGGGGGTTCAAAAGATTTACATTTTCGTCTGGATTAGGATTACTAAGAGAATTTAGGGTTTCATACTGGAACCGTGGTTAATTTCAAAGACTTCACAAGAGACCCAGATAAAAGAAATCCAGAATATGCGTTACTAAACTATCTAAATAAATTCGTTAGAAGAATCACCTTTCTCGGAGAACAAAAGATTTAGATTTTCGTTTGGATTAGGAAAATGGTATCACTTAAGGACATCACTGATTTGCAGTTAAAGAGATTTAAAGTGATGCTACATATTTCTCCAAGTTTCTAACATATTTATAAGTCTTCTTACCTAATATGTTGATTTTTCTAAATCTAATTATATTTTCTTTCCCTCTTTTTTTCCCCTGTTAGACCCAACAACAAGCTACCTCTGCAAAATTAATCGATTTTCAATTATCCCGCTATGCTTCGCCCATACTCGATCTGGTACACTATCTTTTTGCCTGCACCGAAAGAGATTTACGCTCTAAACATTTTATGGAATTTATGGATATCTATCATCAATCTCTAGGTCAGCATATAGAATTTTATGGACACAATATAGAGGAAATCTATCCTAAAACTGTATTTCTACAGCATTTACGAGAATTTGGCATTTATGGTTTCTGCATGGCAGCCTTTTCTATACCTTTCTTTATTTCCAATACCAGTGAATTGCCTGATTTTGATGAGGTTGCAGGTGCCATAAGAGAAATATCTTCTTCGGAAAATTCCGATGAAGAAATTGAGGGTGTTAATGAGGTGAAGGGGGCTCATGATGCCACCACTAAACGTTTAGAACTGCTGGAGGAATATGATCTATTAAGTGAACGTACTTTGCCCATATTCAAAAGGCGCATGTGTGGTATTGTTAAGGATTTGGAAAAGTATGAAATGTTGGGATATTGTATGTGAAAGTATTTTAACCCAAGATTAAAGGTTTCTTTAAACACAGTATTACAAAATTTTAGTTATTTTGTATATTTTTTTGTTTGTTTTCTTTTTATTATTATTATCATTAATTAAAGTATATTGTTTTAATTATAATTATATATTTATATATATATATCTTCACTTTACTATATAAATAAATTACAAAAAACTCTTGTTGTTTTAAAATTATTTAAAAAAATAATATTTTATAATAGAAAAATATGTTGTTTATAGCACGCCAAAGTTTAGTTTGTAATAAAAAACTGAAAATTTGCAGTATTTAATAAAAACATTAATAAAAAAAAAATACTTAAGAATTTTATTATTGGTGTATTTTAAAGTTTATTTAACTGGTTTTGTTGTTGCTAGATTCTACTTGTTAATTTGCAATTTTTTTTATTTATTTTGATTTTGAGGTTAAAAAATTGCACGTGTTTTGAAATGAAATTATAAGTGTTGCCAACTTTAGGAAAAATATTAAATGATTTTAAGGTTATCTGTAATGGTTTGTTTTCTTTTGGTACGAATAGTAGACAATTGTTTAAATTATAGCTTCTGAATTATGTGCTCGCCATCCCTTAGGCCCTTGAAGTATGTTAACTAATTTGCTCGGAACTCAAAGTCCAAGCAAGGGTTGGAGTAAACTGTTTTTGATATTATACCAGTGATAACAAAGACTCACCTGAGTTTTGAATGTTTTATGAATTTTGCGCATTCATTGTTAAAGTTTTTTTCCCCCGATAATCTTGTAATCTAGAATCCTCATTAACTCAAAAAGATAACTGGATAAATGTGAGTTTGTCCATGAAATGGTGTTGATATTCTGTTGCCTTTTAAAACTGTTAAAGATGTTTTATAGAAGTTTTTTCATCTTCATCCAAGAACTTCATTTCTAAGGTGGATACAGCTGAGGTTTAACTGGTTACTCTTGGAACCAATTATATAGTTTTGTTTCAATGTCGAACTAAAACAAGTTTCCTTTGTGAAAATCATCGAAAGTAATTAGAAAACAAAAAACTTTTGACAATAATCTGCATCATGAATTAGTCTACACAGTAGCGATCAATATGGATCTGGCTGATGGTAAACCGATGAAATCCAAATCAAACAAGCGAAGGCATTGCTGTCAGGCAAAAGAAGCTGAAAACGCTGAAAAAGGTACAGAAGTAGCTGGTTCTCTCACTGGTAGTGTAGCAGCTGATTCTCTCGCTGGTAGTGTAGTAGCTGGTTCTATTGCAAAGGTAAGACATCGTGACGATTTCTGCTATCCAGTATATAATGCCGACAAAACAAAAAAGGCAAAATTCCAATAGACCAATACAATAAGATAGAACATCTGGTCTACATTAATCTAAAAGGTTCTTGCAATCACTTGTAATTGCTAACAATCAGTAGAGAGAGAGATTGAGAGCATGAGCAGCAGAGGTGTAATAATCATGAGATTAGTATCACACCAATATGGACGCGAGGTTGTTTAGCTACTACCGGCAACATGATGGAGTCATATCCTAAGAGCGTGTAGGTGATCACTCCTAAGAAGGCAGTTCAGGTTTCCAATTCGATCTTCGCAGATCTTTACGGCGTCAATATAAATCTGATTACTTTTTCTACAGGAAAAGTAGTCTGAATGTGAATACTTTTTTTTATAGGAAAAGTGGTTCAGAGTAATTTTTCTATAGAAAAAGTGGACAGAATCTAAGAAATTGTTCTATAGCTAAAGGTGTCTGAATGTGAGTGCTTGTTCTATGGGAAAAGTAGTCTGAATCTGAGTATTTGTTTTATGGGGAAAAGTAGTCGGATTTGTAGAACTTTCTCTATGGGAAAGGTGGTCAGATTCGTTGTACTTTTTCCATAGGAAAAAGATCAGAATCTGAGAATTTGTCCTAAGGAAAAGTTGTTAGTATTAGACTACTCTTGCTACAGTTGTTATATAGGAAAAGTTATTAGAATCAGACTACTATTGCTATAGGAAAAGTAATCAGATTAGTAGTACTTTTTCTAGAGAAAAAGTGGTCAGATTCGTAGTATACTTTCTATAGGAAAAGTGGTTGGAAACTAAGTACTTTTTCTATAGCAAAAGGTGTAAAAATATGTGTGCTTTTTCAATAGGGAAAAAAGCCAGAGTCTGAGTACTTTTTCTATGGCCAAAGTAGTCAGATTAAAAGTACTTTTTATATAGGAAAAAAAGTCAGATTCGGAGTACTTTTTATATAGAAAAAGTGGTCAGATTCGGAGTACTTTTTTCTATAGGAAAAGTGGTTAGAATCTAAGAACTTTTTCTATAGGAAAAGTAGTCAGAATCTGACTATTGGGAATCAGAGTACTTTTTTACACGAAAAGTTGTTAGAATCTGAATACATGTTCTATTGGAAAAGTATTCAGATTATGAGTACTTTCTCCATAGGAAAGCTGGACAGATCAGTAGTACTTCCTCCATATGAAAGTGGCCACATTCGGAGCACTTTTTCTATAGGAAAAATAGTCAGAATCTAGTACTTGTTCTATTGAAAAGTGGGTAGAATCAGACTAATTTTGCTATAAGAATTGTGGTCAGTTGATAGTACATTTTCTATAGGAAAAGTGGTCAGATTCAAAATACTTTTTCTTAAGGAAAAGTGGTCAGATTCGGAGTATTTTTTCTATAGGAAAAATTATTAGATTCAGAGTACTTTTTCTGCATAAAAAGTGGTCAGATTCGGAGAACTTTTTCGCAAAGAAAAGTAGTTACATTTGAAGTATTTTTCCATAGAATAAGTAGTCGTATTTGAAGTACAACGTAATCAGATTCAGAGTACTTTTTCGGATACTTTTAGATGTAAATTATTTGTTTCCTTGTGTTGTTGTTTTTATGTTGGCATATTTTGAAATGTGTACGTATGTATGTAAATTTTTATTATTATTAAATTTTTTTATTTTTGTTTTTATTTTTACAAAAAAAAAAATCAATATAGTATATGGGTAATTCTTATTATTATTTATATTATTATTAATAATATTATTATTTTTTAGTTTAGAAAAAAAACCTAACTTTATACAACTAAAAGAAAAAAAAAATAATAAAACATTTAAGAAAAATCAATTTAAAAATAATAATAATAATTAAAAATAAAACATAATAATGTAATAAAATGTGTTTTTGTTTATAATTAAATAAAAAACTAAAATGATTTTTTGTTTAAGATTTCACTGTGTGTTGCAAATTTCATTTAAAAAACATTTAATTTTAATGTTATAAAAATTCAAAAAATTTATAAATGTATTTACGTGTGTTTGTGTGTAGGGGTGTGTAAAGTAATTAATAATTAATTAAATGTATGCATATTTTATTTGTAAACTACACATTAAGTATTAAAATGATTACTTGTTGTTTTTTTTTTTATTTCTTTTTTTAGACAAAACAAAAATTTTAAATTTTTGCATACTAAATTAAATTAATTAATAATTAAGAATTATTAATAGTTTTTTCATAGTAAATTTAAGTGTTAAATTTTGTTGTTTGTTTTTAATTTTTTATGTGTTTTACTCAGCTTAACCATTTTCTTTTTTTTTATTTAATATTTCAAATTTATATGTTTTAGCAAAACTAATTTGCTGTTGCTGCTTTTTTTAAAATATATATTTTTTTGTTAAATCTGCTTTTATATAGTATTTATGTATAATTAAATGTTTGTATAATATAGTGGTTTTGTTGTTGTTTATACTTTTTATACATATGTGTAGATATTTTTTATGTATTTTGTTTAATTAATATTAGAATTTTTTTTGAAATAAAACTTATCTTTGAATAGTTTATTTTCTGCATTTTTTCTTTCTCGGCTTCGCTCTACGTTTTGAATTTTCCTTTTGTTTTTTATTTTTTAAGATTATTTTTGTTTAAATTATTCTTATTATTATTTTCATGTTTGTATATTGCAAGGAATATGTAGCATAATCCACACACGACCATTGTGAGTATGTATGTGTTTTGTTTAAATTTTTATTAGAAAGTCACAATTGTGTTTTAAATTTTTTAATTATTATCCTTCTTCATCAACTTATTGTGATACCTCTCTAAAGCGTTTTTGTCTTTCAAGACTTTCAACTTCGGCCCAAGAATTGCGCATATTGCGAAAAAGCTAAAATAAATAAAAAATGTTAAACAAATTAGAAAAGTTCTTAAAATTTCTCTAAAACGAAATTTTAAATATTTTTCACATTTTAAACTCTTTTTCGAAAATTCGAAATTAATTTCGAAAATTCGAACTTAATTTCGAAACTGATTTTACCGCTTAAAAACACATTTAAATGATTCCTTATAAGAAAACACACAGTTTTATTGCAATAAAAAAATTTCGAACTTAATTTCGAAATTTCGAACTTGATAAAAATTAGTTAAAATTAGCTTAAATAGTTGAAATTTTATATAAAAATAAGAAAATAATTTAATATCTATTAAGTTTGTTAATTAAAAATCGAAATTAACAAGTTTTTGTTACAACTTCGAAAATTCGAACATTGAAATTTAAAGCAAATTAAGGAGTTTACAACAATATGTTATATTTTATTCTATTAGAATATATTTAAGACAGTTTTTGGTAAAATAAAACATTTTCGAAATTAATTTCGAATTTTCGAACTTGATGAAAATTCGTTAAAATTAACTTAAATAGTTGAAATTTTATATAAAAATAACAAAATAATTATATTTCTATTTCATTTTTTAATAGAAGGATAAGTTTAAGATAATTTTTGGTGAAATAAAAAATTTTCGAAATTAGTTTCGAATTTTCGAACTTGATGAAAAATGGTCAAAATTAATTGTTGGAATTTTATATAAAAATAACGAAATAATTTAATTTCTATTGAAATTGTTAAATAAAACAAGTTTTTGTAACAATTTCGAAAATTGAAAATTAAAGCAAATTATGCAACTAACAACAAAATTGTATTTTTTTAATAAAATAATAAGTTTAAGATAATTTTTGGTGAAATAAAATTTTTGCGAACTTAATTTCGAATTTTCGAACTGATGAAAATTCGTTAAAATTAACTTAAATAGTTGCAATTTTATATAAAAATTAAAAAATAATTTAATTTCTATTAAAATTGTTAAATAAAAATCGAAATTAACAAGTTTTTTATAACAATTTCGAAAATTCGAACATTGAAAATTAAAGCAATTTAAGGAGTTTACAACAAAATGTTATATTTTATTCTATTAGAATATGTTTAAGACAATTTTTGGTGAAATAAAAAATTTTCGAACTTAATTTCGAATTTTCGAAATTGATAAAAATTCGTTAAAATTAGCTTAGATAGTTGAAATTTTATATAAAAATGACAAAATAATTTAATTTCTATTAAAATTGTTAAATAAAAATCGAAATTAACAAGTTTTTGTAACAATTTCGAAAATTCAAACATTGAAAATTAAAGCAAATTATGGCATTTACAATAAAATTTTATATCTTATTCTATTAAAATAGGTTAAAAATAGCTTTTGGTGAAATAAAAAATTTTCGAACTTAATTTCAAATTTTCGAACTTGATGAAAATTCGTCAAAATTAACTTGAATAGTTGAAATTTTATATAAAACTAAGAAAATAATTTAATTTCTATTAAAATTGCTAAATAAAAATCGAAATGAAAAAGTTTTTATAACAATTTCGAAAATTCGAACATTGAAAATTAAAGCAAATTTTAGAATTTTCAATAAAATTTAATTTTTTAATAGAAGGATAAGTTTAAGATAATTTTTGGTGAAATAAAAAATTTTCGAAATTAGTTTCGAATTTTCGAACTTGATGAAAAATCGTCAAAATTAGCCTTAATTGTTGGAATTTTATATAAAAATAACAAAATAATTTAATTTATATTAAAATTTAGTAGTCTTATTCGAAGTATTTTTTCTATAGAAAAAGTAGTCAGATTCGGAGTACTTTTTCTATAGGAAAAGTAGTCAGATTCGGAGTACTTTTTCTATATTAAAAGTAGTCAGATTCGGAGTACTTTTTCTATAGGAAAAGTAGTCAGATTCGGAGTACTTTTTCTATAGGAAAAGTAGTCAGATTCGGAGTACTTTTTCTATAGGAAAAGTAGTCAGATTCGGAGTACTTTTTCTATAGAAAAGTAGTCAGATTCGGAGTACATTTTCTATAGGAAAAGTAGTCAGATTCGGAGTATGTACTATTACTATATGAAAAGTACCTCTTTTGAAATTGTTCGTTTTTTTTTCCCCAAAAAAAAGAAAACAAAATTAAACTTTAAGACTCACCTCATCTATCCAATTATGTTCGGCTAGTAAATCATTAAGAATTTCTGTTGATGTCTTGCTGGGATTCTCTTGTTGTAACTCAGTAACACGACGAGAACAATTGATATATAAATTATATTTTTCATGAGCAATTTTATGGAATATATCAGCACGTGCGGCACAAATGCGACAAAGTAAAATATCCTACAGAAAAGAAGAAAACTCGAATAAACCCCCAAGCAAATATATCGGAAATAAAAACCCACCTTTTCATAAGTTATACGTGCATCTGTGGGTATTGATTGCATAGTATTCGAATTATAGGTGTGACCAAATAAAAGAAAACGCACCGATATGCCCGGTTGATGGCAACCGGCACAATTCTTTTGTGTCAAATTATTTTGGCCCCATTCAGTAAAGACATGACACTTGGGCCAGGTTTCTATAGAGGCTATAATGCTGCGTGTCCAGGGTGTAATCGATAGTAGTTTACGTTTACAATTATCCATAATGGTATCGATAGCACGTACACTACCCAGGAAATATTCATCTGAAAAGGCTTCAAATTAATTTAAAGTTGGACAACATTCAAGCGATTAACATACCTTTCTCGCGTGTAATTTCCGAAAAGAAACTAGGATCTAGAACCTGTGAGATCATAGTTTGTATATAGATTTCGAAATGATCACGATACGAAAGATATTCCTCCATGATTTTCTCTATAAATTGTTCAGTATCATCGGCCAATAGTTCGGAACGTAAAAATTCAACAATGGTTTCGGTGTGTGACTGTACTTGTATGCGTACAGGAGCTTTTAAATATAATTTTTTTGTTTCCAAATTCCAGGAAGCATACTAGAGACCATAAAAAAAAATGTTTTTAGTTATAAATTCTAGAGGAAGGGGATAAGGAAATATCTTACCTTGGACATATTGCGATAAAACATTTTACCATTTTGATAGAAAGGTTCGTATTTTTGTAAAATACATTTGGAATCTACCTGCCAAATGGTGGGCCAATCATTAACTAAATCTGAACGTAAAACTATAAAGTCACCGGTCTAGAAATTGCACACACACACACAAGTTTATATAAATTTATAATAAAATAAGGAACAATGTATGTCTTTAATTAATTTAAAAGTGAAATTTTACCTTAAAATTATCAGAAGCGGCGCCAGCGCCTGATGAATTTGTATAACTCGCTGAAGTGCTAGCAATATCATGATTCAAGGTATAACCATCATTGTTAACAATGGCATTCGATTGCTGCTGCTGTTGTTGTTGGCTCTGTTGATGTTGCTGTTGTTGTTGCTGCGGCTGTTGTTGTTGCTGCTGCTGTTGTTGTTGTTGTTGCTGTTGTGGTTGTTGATTATAATGTTTACGTGGTGAACTTTTAGTACGTCTTGCTATTTTACGCTTAAATCCTTTGCTATCTTGGCTCTTTATTTATCATTTATTTTCAATTTCATTACGTTATCGTTAACATTTATTTGGTCGTGTGGATTGGATATATATATTTGAAATCAAACAATTTTGATGTGAACAAATTGTTTTTTGTTTTTGGATATGTTTTTTTTTTTTTTGTTTTCTATAGTCTTAAAATAATCTTACTTACATCATCTTCTTGTGGTGTCCAAACGGGATCTGTATCAGAGTCTGCAAATTCATCAGGTTCCGCCATGGCATCCTCGGTTGCAACAGCGTTGGTGTTGGTGCCCAATACAGCAGCAATACTATTTGTTTTAGCCTTGCGTAAACATTGTTCACGCCTAGGTGGTAAATTTAAAGGATCTAAAATAACGATAAAGTTTTTGAGTAAAATCTATGTTAAAAAGAGAAATTGACTTCACATCGAGGGTGGGGGTTGAGAGGGGGAGTTCTTTTGTATAGAAGTATCCTCTACTACAGCTTGTTTATAGGTGTGAAGCCTTGTTATTGAAATGTTTTTTTAAGGCGAGCTTTAGTTTTGTGTGTTTTTTTGTTTTTTTTATTTGTTTTTAGACTGAAATTAAAATAAAATGCTGTTTTGAAAACGTAGGAATTTTTCTATATTTTTTATTAGAATATAGAAATTGAAATTTTTTTAAATAAGGGATACTTTTTATTACTATTCTACTTCTTATTTCAAAATTAATAAGAAATGTCATTACAACTATGGTCAATGAGAGATCAGTTATTCTACAAATTGTTTCAAATGCAAAGACTAGACTAATAGATATGACTACGGACTAGACTAGACTATACGCTAGAATATAGGCTAGACTATAAACCAGACTAGATTATAGACTAAGCTATATACAAAACTATAGACCAGACTATGTACAAGACTATAGACTAGACTACAGACTACTTTACTCTACAGTCCAGAGTAAACTAGACTTTACTATAAACTAGACTAGATTATAGAATAAACGGAATACTATTTTAGTCTATAGACCAAATTTCATCCTAGACCATACATTCTAGTCTTTAAAGAATCTTCTTGAAATGATTGTCCGTTTAGCTGATGCTTAAATTTATATTGATCTTTGTCAAAAGAGCAAAAGAGCATTTAAACTACTAATCCATTCAACGACGGCAGTGGAATGAATGGGATTTATGAAGCTATTGTTCGAATCTATATCAGCAGTCCTATTGACTTGGTGCTTAAATAGCGACGGACACCATTTCTCTATAGTTCGAGAGATTATACGATTACAGTAAACCTATTGCAATTTTTCCAGCCCTTGCCTTTTCTCTGTTTACCAACTATGATATTCTGCATTTCGATTTGTGGCTGCATCACTAAAATAACAACTTAAAAACAAAGCATTGAAACGAAATGGAATTCTTTTTCTTACGATTTCGTTTGTTTGTTGGAATATCTTTTTTCGATCATTGCAGTTAATGCAGAATAGAACTAGTAGTGAATTAAACTAGAACCAAACTTGAACTGTATTGAAACTGAAGTACTGAAATAGATCTGCACTTTAACTGAACTAGATCTTAACTAGAACTGAGCAAGATACTGCCAAAAACAGAACTAGAACAATACTGGAAATGAATTAGAACTAAAATGAACTTGAACATAACTAGTACTGAACTGCAACTGAACTAGAATTGAACTAGAACAGAACTAGACCCCAACTAGAACTGAAATAGAACTGAACTAGATTTCAGCTAGAATTGAACTAGAACAGAACTAGAACTGAACTAGAACAGATCTAGAACTGAAACTGAAATGGAACAGAACTAGAATAGAACTAGAACTAAACTAGAACTAGAACAAAACTAGACCTGAACTAGAACTGAACTGAAACTAAACTAGAACTGAACTAGAATTGAACTAGAACTGAACTAGAACTGAACTAGAACTGAACTAAAACTGAACTAGAACTGAACTAGAACTGAACTAGAACTAAACTAGAACTTAACTAGAACTGAACTAGAACTGAACTAGAACTGAACTAGAACTGAACTAGAACTGAACTAGAACTGAACTAGAACTGAACTAGAACTGAACTAGAACTGAACTAGAACTGAACTAGAACTGAACTAGAACTGAACTAGAACTGAACTAAAACTGAATTAGAACTGAACAAGAATTGGAACTGAATCAGCACTGAAATGAACTAGGACTGAACACGAACTGAACTAGAACTGAACTCGAACTGATCCAGAACTGAATTAGAACTGAACTAGAACTGAATTAGAACTGAACTCAAACTGAACTAGAACTGATCCAGAACTGAATTTGAACTGAATTAGAACTGAACTAGAACTGAACTAAAACTGAACTAGAACTGAACTAGAACTGAACTAGAACTGAACTAGAACTGAACTAGAACTGAACTAGAACTGAACTAGAACTGAACTAAAACTGAACTAGAACTAAAACTGAACTAGAACTGAACTAGAACAGAGCTAGAACTGAACTACAACTGAACTTGAACTGAACTAGAACTGAACTAGAACTGATCTAGAACTGATCTAGAACAGAACTAGAACAGAACTAGAACATAACTAGAACAGAACTAGAACTGAACTAGAACTGAACTAGAACTGAACTTGAACTGAACTAGAACTGAACTAGAACTGAACTAGAACTGAACTAGAACTGAACTAGAACTGAACTAGAACTGAACTAGAACTGAACTAGAACTGAACTAGAACTGAACTAGAACTGAACTAGAACTGAACTAGAACTGAACTAGAACTGAACTAGAACTGAACTAGAACAGAACTAGAACTGAACTAGAACTGAACTAGAACTGAACTAGAACTGAACTAGAACTGAACTAGAACTGAACTAGAACTGAACTAGAACTAGAACTAAACTAAAACTGAACTAGAACTGAACTAGAACTGAACTACAACTGAACTAGAACTGAACTAGAACTGAGCTAGAACTGAACTAGAACTGAACTAGAACTGAACAAGAACTAGAACTGAACTAGAACTGAACTAGAACTGAACTAGAACTGAACTAGAACTGAACTAGAACTGAACTAGAACTGAACTAAACTAGATATTAACTAGAATAAAACTATAGTGAATTATAGTTCTAAATTATAGCCAATAACAAAAGATGTCTAGGAGATTATAACTCATCTACAATCTCCGAAACAATTTTGTAAATTTTAAAGCAAAAAACTAATATATAGAGGTGGTCCCAAAAGTAAATATTAGGAACTACAAACTTTATCGCACTGATGCAGATTATAGAAACTGTTAGATATATAGGAAACAAAAATGCATAGAAATTTTGTGAGAAAAATAAAGGATGAAAGGGGTCTTTTTTTTTTTCTTAACAATAATGGAATAAATATTATAACACAATTAATTTCTTGCAAAATATTTAAATAAATTCAATCAATAATAATCATATAAAAATTAAATTAAATTATAAACAATACTCCAAACCATCAGCAAAATTCCAAATTAATCCGCCAATGAAGCCACTAACATACCACCAACATTTATGCTTTTTCCTTTCCATTTACTTTTTCTTAAATACTCATTCATCATCATTTGCTGCGAAAAAAACCGGCTGAAAGAAATCGGAAAAATCCTGCCATCCATTCCATACAATAAAAAACAACATTTACATAGAAGAGTTTTATTATTTTTGATTGCTTTTTTTTTAAATATAAGTTTTTCTTTTCACTTGTTTGTTATTTTTAGTAATTTTACTTGACTATAAATCTTTTTTATTTTTTTTAGTGAAAATTTAAAAAATACTTTTGTCCAACGTTTTAGTTTTTTTTTTTGTAATTTTTTAAAGATTTTTTTGTGATTATTTTATGTGGTTTTTATCTTCTTTTAACAATTAATTAAAATATAATTTAATATTTTTTGTACAAAAAAATTAGAAAAAAATTAAAAAACAAAAAAAGGAAAATTATAAAAGAAAAAAAAAATATGTTGATAAATTTACTTTATACACAAAACAAATTGTTTTTTAATTAATATTAGCAAAGTAGTGATTGTTTAAATTTTTTATATAAAAGAGATTTTTAGACGCGAATTAAAAGAAGTAATGAACTCTTGCTTTTTATATTTTGTTTAAATTATTAAATATGTTATGGGTTTTTAGGTTTTTTTTGGGGGGGGGGGGGGGGAGAAGGTTTAGAACTCTTAAAGAGCTGCTGTTTTTTTAAGGCTCTGGGATTATTTAGATAACGAGAGCTTAGTTGTTTATGGTTTTGCCTTAACGAGCAAGAGAAGGACTTTATTAATTATATGGGTATGTATAGAGAGATAGAGTGTGATTTTGAGTGTTTGATGAGAGTATGAGAACGAAAAGCGGACGCAGTTTTGTAACGAGAATGAATACTATATATATATATATTTAGACACGATATCTGTATATATCCTATGTTCAAGGTTTCTTTTTTCTATTGTATATAGTTTTTTTTTTTGCAAACACGCGGCTGTTTTTAGTTTCAACGCCAGGACCAGAGAAAATTTAAAAAATGATGATGATTGTTGTGTGGTACACTAGTGGCGGCGGAAGAGGAATTATGATGTGGAGCTGTAGTAGAGTTGTTGAAAGCATTTAGTGAACTACGGCTAGTAGAATTTTGTTGGTCAAGTAGCAACATACCTTGACTGGAGCCAGCAGCTGCTACGGCCGATGAACCGAAACCTAATTGTGCACAATATTGTTGTTGCTGTTGTTGCTGCTGCTGTTGTTGTTGCTGTTGATGATGCTGCTGCTGTTGATGATGCTGTTGCTGCTGTTGTTGTTGCTGCTGCTGTTGATGTTGTCCATAGGGACGGAATGATTGCTCATGTTGTTGCTGTTGTTGCGCCTGCTGCTGCTGATGCTGCTGTTGTTCCGAGTGCTGGGGATGTTGCTGGATGACCGAAGTACCTGTATGCGAATTTGAGCCGGACGATGAAGATTGTGCTGCTGCTGCAGCTGCGGCAGCAGCCTGCATTTGTGCATGTGGTCGTTTTTTAGGTAAAATTTGTGTCTGCGATAGGATCTTTATCTGATGACCATCATCGCCGGTCAGCATACCAGCATGACCACTCTGTCCATCCATCGCTGCAATATGAGCCGCCGCTATGGCAGCCTCCTCCGATGTGGGCTGTGTCTGTTGCTGTTTACGTTTTCCACCTCCACCACCACCTCCTCCACCACCACCACCTCCGCCGCCGGCACCACCTGACGTCTTCTGATAATTGTTTTTGCGTCCGCCTTTCGCCGTAGAGGCTGTCTCCTCCTCCCTATCGCCTTGCAAGAACTTCAAATAACTGTCCATGAATTGGGTCTTCTTCTCGCCGATCGAGGTGCCCACAACGGGCTTCTTTTCGGGCGGTACATAAGCAGTCGAAGACGCAGACCCAGCCGCATTCGCTGCCCCACCGCCAGCAGCAGCCGAGGCGTTACTATGATTTGCCGCACTTGAGTTGGTGGCACCAGCCACTCCCCCCACACCAGCTGTGGCATTCGATTTGATGCCAGCTTTGTTCGCCGCCTCGGCGGCTACACTGTGTGGATTGTAGATGCCAATATTGGTTGGTTTTGTTGTGGAGTTGGCATTGCGCGCTCCGGCTGCTGATGTTTCACTGGCACTGGCATAGCCCTGCTTGGGTGTTGTATCCGATAGGAATTCCAATTCTTCTTCGATATTGGGCACGATGACTTTATTGGAGGCGGCTTCCTGAGCGGCCTGCTGTTGCTGTTGTTCCTCGGCCTGTTGTTGCTGCTGCTGTTGTTGTTGGTGTGACGACGCTGAGGCTGTGGCAGATGAGGCCGTCGCAGCCGCCGTCTGCTGCTGATTGAGATTGTAGAGTGTGTGTTGTATTGCTCCGGCAGCTGCAGCGGTCTGTTGCATACAAGCTGTGTATTGTGAGGCAATTTGTTGTGTGAAATTTGGATAATACGAAGTCAGATTAGTCAAGTGTGATTGGGCTTGTGAAGACTGCAAGTGAGCAGGTTGTGGTACTTGCTGCTGTTGCTGTTGATGTGCCACTGTTTGTTGCTGTTGCTGCTGTTGTTGTTGCTGCTGCTGTTGTTGCTGCTGTTGTTGTTGCTGTTGTTGTTGCTGCTGCTGTTGTTGCTGCTGCTGTTGCTGCTGTTGAGCATGTTGTTGCGTATGAGGATTTACGTATGTTGGTATATTTATAGCTGGCACCTGTACCGCTGGTGTTGTGGTATTATTTTCTGTTTTCAATACCGTGGTATTCCATTTATTATTAAAATCATAATAAGTCGATTGCTGTTGTTGCTGCTGTTGTTGTTGTTGTTGCTGCTGTTGCACATGCTGCTGCTGCTGTTGATGATGACTTGCCGTTGTAGTTTCTTGCTGTTGTTGTGGACTTTGTTGCGATTCATAATCATTTGTTATAAGCGTCTTTTTTGGCTGTCTCTTGCGTGGTGTTTTAGTCGATTTCGTTACCACCAACTGTTGCTGATGCTTTTCCTCTTGGGCCTGTAAAAAATAGAAATTCCTATTAATATCTTGTAAATTTTATAAAAAAAAAACTTTTATTTATAATTCTTTTTTTTTGTAAATTTTTATTTATATTTTATAAAATTCTTTTATTTTTTTCTTTATTTTTATTTTTTCTCTTTATTTTTCTTTAATAAACAAAAAATTAATAATAATATTTATAAATTTATATTAAAAAATCTTTTTTTTTTTTGCATTATTTTCTTACGCTCATCTTCCTCAACATCTTAAAGTTTCTTTATACTTTTTTTTGGAAACGTCACAGGTTCAAATAAGTTTTTGTTTATACATTTTTTAAATTTAAATTAATTTTTAATAATAAAAACAAATATAGTAAAAATAGTTGTAGTAGTAGTATGTGTTAGTTTAAAGAAATATTATATATTAAAAAAACAACAAAAAAATACCATTAAAACACCAAAAAACCAACTATACAAACCAAAGTTTATTTTTTGTTAAATTTTGTTAGTAAAGTATTATAAACTAAAGTTAAAAGTGTTATTTGTTTTAGTTAATTATAGTCAAAAACCGTTACCCTTTTCTTAATTAAAATTTGTTAAACAAAATTTTATTATTTCTTTTTAAAAAAGTAACAAAATAATACAAAATTTTACACACATAATAGAGGAAGATGATTGTATATATGAAAAAAAATCTTTTAAATAATTTTAAATATCATTTTTAACAATTTGTTTAATTTCTTTTTTAATTATGTTTTTTTAAATTAAGAAAATATTTTATATACAAGCATACTAAACACTAAAATTGCGCTCATTAAGAGAGAGAGAGACATCTTTATAAAAAAAAAAAAAAAAACAAATATTGTTGGGTGCACAGAAATAAAGTTTGCTTCTAAGATATCCTAAAATTAGTGAAATTTGGTCATTCGAAATTAGGGATGCAACAGAATATATATTCCTCTACATGTTAATTAACCATTTTCAACAAGTTTAGGAAATTTCAGAGGGAAAGCAAATAATGTGAAGAAAAATAAGATGTAACATTGAATTCTGATATTCTTTCCATCATGTGAATGAATTGCCCCTGAACTAGAGCTGAACTAGAGCTGAACTAGAACTGAACTAGAACGGAACTAGAACTGAACTAGAACTGAACTAGAACGGAACTAGAACTGAACTAGAACGGAACTAGAACTGAACTAGAACTGAACTAGAACTGAACTAGAACTGAACTAGAACTGAACTAGAACTGAACTAGAACTGAACTAGAACTGAACTAGAACTGAACTAGAACTAGAACTGAACTAGAACTGAACTGAACTAAAACTGAACTAGAACTGAACTAGAACTGAACTAGAACTGAACTAGAACTAAACTAGAATAACTAGAACTGAAACTAGAACTAGAACTAGAACTTGAACTAGAACTGAACTAGAACTGAACTAGAACTGAACTAGAACTGAACTAGAACTGAACTAGAACTGAACTAGAACTGAACTAGAACTGAACTAGAACTGAACTAGAACTGAACTAGAACTGAACTAGAACTGAACTAGAACTGAACTAGAACTGAACTAGAACTGAACTAGAACTGAACTAACTAGAACTGAACTAGAACTGAACTAGAACTGAACTAGAACTGAACTAGAACTGAACTAGAACTGAACTAGAACTGAACTAGAACTGAACTAGAACTGAACTAGAACTGAACTAGAACTGAACTAGAACTGAACTAGAACTGAACTAGAACTGAACTAGAACTGAACTAGAACTGAACTACTGAACTAGAACTGAACTAGAACTGAACTAGAACTGAACTAGAACTGAACTAGAACTGAACTAGAACTGAACTAGAACTGAACTAGACGACTAGAACTGAACTAGAACTGAACTAGAACTGAACTAGAACTGAACTAGAACTGAACTAGAACTGAACTAGAACTGAACTAGAACTGAACTAGAACTGAACTAGAACTGAACTAGAACTGAACTAGAACTGAACTAGAACTGAACTAGAACTGAACTAGAACTGAACTAGAACTGAACTAGAACTGAACTAGACCTGAACTGGACCTGAACTAGACCTGAACTAGAACTGAACTAGAATAGAACTAGAACAGAACTAGAACTGAACTAGAACTGAACTAGAACTGAACTAGAACTGAACTAGAACGGAACTAGAACTGAACTAGAACGGAACTAGAACTGAACTAGAAATGAACTAGAACTGAACTAGAACTGAACTAGAACGGAACTAGAACTGAACTAGAATTAGAACTGAACTAGAACTGAACTAGAACTGAACTAAAACTGAACTAGAACTGAACTAGAACTGAACTTGAACTGAACTAAAACAGAACTAGAACTGAACTAGAACTGAACTAGAACTGAACTAGAACTGAACTAGAACTGAACTAGAACTGAACTAGAACTGAACTAGAACTGAACTAGAACTGAACTAGAACTGAACTAGAACTGAACTAGAACTGAACTAGAACTGAACTAGAACTGAACTAGAACTGAACTAGAACTGAACTAGAACTGAACTAGAACTGAACTAGAACTGAACTAGAACTGAACTAGAACTGAACTAGAACTGAATTAGAACTGAACTAGAACTGAACTAGAACTGAACTAGAACTGAACTAGAACTGAACTAGAACTGAACTAGAACTGAACTAGAACTGAACTAGAACTGAACTAGAACTGAACTAGAACTGAACTAGAACTGAACTAGAACTGAAATAGAACTGAACTAGAACTGAACTAGAACTGAACTAGAACTGAACTAGAACTGAACTAAACTGAACTAGAACTGAACTAGAACTGAATTAGAACTGAACTAGAACTGAACTAGAACTGAACTAGAACTGAACTAGAACTGAACTAGAACTGAACTAGAACTGAACTAGAACTGAACTAGAACTGAACTAGAACTGAACTAGAACTGAAATAGAACTGAACTAGAACAGAACTTCAACTGCACTAGAATGTCTTCTAAATGGATCAATATTTCCACACAGGATACAGTAAGGAATATAAACTTCAAACTATTGCAAAGTGACTTAATATTCGATGAAATTTCCTAGTTATGGTTAAAAAGGATAAGGTTATGGATAATTCATAGATTTTTAAATAAAATTGAAAAGAACTACGGTTCTTTCACTTCTTAAACAATAACTGGAAGTGATACAGGAGTAAAAAATCTGGAGCATATTACTGTTTTAATATAAAATCTAAAGAAAAATAAAAACAAACAAAAAAAAACTAAGAATTGAAGCTATAACTGTTAAATTGTCTGCTAAAGAGTTTAGAATTTGATTAACAAGCATGTGACTAAAGTTTAAAGAGTTATTTTGTATATCAATTGTAAAGTACTAGTGTTATTAGGGCTTTAAAAACAATTTTGACTACAAATATTTGTTGTGTTCTAATACAAAACAGATTTAAAGGAATAAAACCTAAAAAACTGTTTATTTTAAGAACGATACTATTGTTTAAAAATTTTGTAAAATTCAAAATTAAAAAAAAATGAATGTTGTAGCCAGAAAAACTAATAATTTAGAAAAAAATAAAAAAAAAATATTTAAGAAAAATTAAAAAATAATCAAAAAAAACTAAATTTTGTTTTTGTTTTTGAAAACTTAAAAAAAAAAATAATAATAAAATACAAACCTTAGAATTTATTTGAATCTGTGACGTTGTGGCCGTAGAGTGATGGTGGGAAGACGACGTAGAAGTAGACGAAGTATTATTTGTATTGTTATTATTGTTAGACGAAGAATTGTTGTTGTTGTTGTTGGTGGTATGAGAAGGAGACATTAACATGTTAGCAATCATATGCTGGCGACGTTTATTGTCAGGTTGCTGCTGCTGCTGCAACTTTTGTTCATTATATAAATGTTGTTGCTGCTGTTGCTGGGCTAATAATTGTTGTTGCTGCTGCTGATGCTGTTGTTGAGTATGTTGCAAGACTGAGGGAGAATGTGGCGAATTATTGTTACAAACATTAAGACCCGAAGTTTGTTTAATTTCCAAACCGGGTGGTAAATTAAATATAAGATTATCACTCATAACAACATTACCGCTTACTAAACCGCCGCCTCCTCCAACCACTCCTCCTAAAGAGGAGTGATAGTCTAGATTTTGATGTTCTTGTTTAACCTGTAATTGTAAAACATTTTTAACATCTTCTTCTTGTTGAGCAGCATCTTCTATTTTCCAAAGATTCAGTTGATGCTGCTGCTGCTGTTGTTGCTGTTGATGTTGCTGTTGCTGCAATTGCTGTTGCTGTAGAGTGCTTTGTATCACAGAGGAATAAGCAACAGTATTCGAAGATGTTGCAGGCGAACCAGCGTTTGCAACATGTGTTGTACGACGTGCTATGGGCGATTCGGCGGCGGCTGATGAGCCAGTAGTTGTTTTATAAACAATAACTTGCGGTGGGGTGGTGGTGGTGTTGTTGTTGTTGTTATTATTAACATTTGCATGTAAGGCTGGTGAAGAATTACCAGTCGAACTTAAAGCTGGACTGGCATAAACAGGATATTGTTGTTGGGTGGTGGTCGAAGATGCAGGACTAGGATGTTGCTGTTCTATTTGCAATACTTGCTGTTGTTGTTGTTGTTGCTGTTGTGGCTGTTGTTGGGATTTACGTACTATTTTATAGTGTTTACCATCTATGGTATAATATGTAGTCTCCTCTTCCTCCTGTTGCTGTTGTTGTTGCTGCTGCTGTTGTTGTTGCTGCTGCAGTTGCTGTTGTTGTAATTGTGTGAGGTATAACAAATCATTGTAGGCTTTTACTTGAGCCTTAGTACATTGTGTATTTTCTTGTTTGATTTGCTACTCAATGGTTTGTTTGATATTTTTTAGTTTTTTTTTTTAGCAAATTTTTGTTATTTTTTGATTTTGTTTTTTAAATTTAAAGTTTTTGGTTTTATACGTTTTTTTGTTTAAAAACAAAAAGTAGGAGTAGTTGGTAGTTTTTGATTTTTATAAGTTGAGTTTGAGGAGGAGTTGTGTAGAGAGATTTTGGTTTTTTGTGTTTTAGAGTTTTTGGTTTTTTAGACATTTTTTTTTTTGAGAAATTTTATTTTAAATTTTTAGTTATAAAAATATATATTTATTTTTATATAAAAAAAGTAAAAACAAAAATATAAAAAATATATATAAGAAGAGAAAGAGAGTATAAGTACAAAACAAACAAAGTATATACAAAACACACACACACGCACACATAAAATACAAATACAAATAAATATTATTTGTATATAAGATATGTATGAATGTATGCTTGCATGTACATAAGTATGTTTGCAAGTAAGTAAAGTAAATTGTATATAAATGAATGATATATAAAATGTATAAATGTATAGATGTAATGTATGATTTGTATATAAGTATGTGTGTAGTAAAATGTATTGCTATCATGTGTGTGTAATGTTAAAAAAGATATATAAAGTAAAATGTATGCTATTGAATGCGTATGTTTATATGGTTTTGTATTTGTCTGCTTGTGTGTTGTTTTTTTTGCAACATACACACACACATATAAACATGTGTGTAAATTGTAAATTGTTAGAGAACAGTAAGGAATAGAATTTTGTTACAAACAATATCTAAATGAAGACTGAATGTTTGTATAAATCTAACAAAAACAACAAAATACAATAGTTTGTGTCTAACTCATATACATTCATATAAACTTATACAACAACATATTATTTCTATGTGTGTTGTATGTCTCACCTCCCTACCCTCTACTTCAGCAAATCCTCACTATATCCTCCTAACCTTCCTTTGTTTTCCACCCCCTTTTATAACACATTCACATTCGCACTTGCTTTATACGTCTACTACATGTTCATCTTTTACTTCTTTTACAAATTCATATATATTTTATTTTCCTCCTCATATATGGTTTGGTTTATTGTCATGAATGTTAAATTATAATTCCAAGTGTATTCCTGCTTGCTGTTGTTGTTGTTGTTGTTATTGTTATTATATTCAGTTAACAATGCTACAACAATATGCTGCTGCTTGCTGTTTCTGTTTCTGTTGTTGGTGTATGTGTTATGTTATATGGTCATGTAACTAACTTGTATTATAGATAGTATGTATACAGGTAAAGTTAACAATTCTTTCAGGGTGAGTCTGAAAATCTGGGGATTTGAAAGTGGAACTCCCTAAAGACTCCCAACTCTTAAGATAAGGACACTGTGGATACTAACCCAAATACTGACAATTAAAGTTTTAAATAGAAAATTATTTTTATGTATCTTTCTATCTATCTATCTATCTATCTATCTACTATCTATCTATCTATCTATCTATCTATCTATCTATCTATCTATCTATCTATCTATATATCTATCTATCTATCTATCTATCTATCTATCTATCTATCTATCTATATATCTATCTATCTATCTATCTATCTATCTATCTATCTATCTATCTATCTATCTATCTATCTATCTATCTATCTATCTATCTATCTATCTATCTATCTATCTATCTATCTATCTATCTATCTATCTATCTATCTATCTATCTATCTATCTATCTATCTATCTATCTATCTATCTATCTATCTATCTATCTATCTATCTATCTATCTATCTATCTATCTATCTATCTATCTATCTATCTATCTATCTATCTATCTATCTATCTATCTATCTATCTATCTATCTATCTATCTATCTATCTATCTATCTATCTATCTATATATATATCTTTCTATCAAAATTTAAATTTTAATGCAAAATCGAAAAAAATATTAAAAAATATTTTTAATAAAAATAAATTTTTCGTTAAAAAATATTCTTAATAAAAATAAAATTTTTCGTTAAAAAATATTTTTAATAAAAATAAAATTTTTTTTAAAAATATTTTTAATAAAAATGGTATTTTTTAATAAAATTTATTTTAATAACTTAAAAAAATTTTATTTTTACCAAAAAAGTAAAATTTTTAGTAAAATAAAATAAAATTTTTAATAAAGAAATCAAATTTAAAAAAACCTAGATTTAAATAATTATTTAGTAAGTTTTTTTTCCTAAATTAATATTATTTTTCAGTTTGAACTGATGCTTCAAACCGGGATATGAATGAAGTTAAACTGAAAAATCTGCGATTGAAGTACTAAACTGTGTGTGATCTGTATTTGGATCATTGATTGAGATTATACTTGTAGTAAAAGAGACTATAGTAGGATTAATATGGTATAATCTGCTACTAAAGTTTACTTTTAATTAAAGTTTTAAAGTTTACTTTTAATCTTCAAACAAGTTGACTATGTTTGAAGCTGCTTTTAATCTAAACTAAGAGTTAAAATATGGTTACAATATATGTACTTGCGATTGGAGTTGAAATAATCTTTAAATATCTAAGATTAAAGCTAAACTGTAGCTTAAATATTAGATTAAAGCTACAGTTTAAGACTTAACTTGTATCAAAATGTTTCGAAGCTTAACTAGGATTTAAAAAGAAACTAGGCTTAAAGCTGAATTGGGGACTTACAAGATCCACGATTAAAACAAAAATGTGTTTACAATAAACCCCTTAAATGAAGCTAAACTTTAACTAATATAAAAGTTTTGATTGAAACTAAACTGGAATTATAGAAAAGCCTACAATTGAGACTTAAACTAAAAAAAAAAATGAGACATACATAGGTACATAAGACAAAAGCTTCGTAGCTTCGTTTTAAACTAAACAGGAAATATATAAAAATTGCAGCAAAATTAGATTATAAAAATACTAAAGTTTTCAGTTCAAGTTCAAGGGTCTAGTAAAGTTCTAGTGCAGTTCTAATTCAGTTCTAGTTCAGTTTTAGTTCAGTTCTAATTCAGTTCTAATTCAGTTCTAGTTCAGTTCTAGTTCAGTTCTAGTTCAGTTCTAGTTCAGTTCTAGTTCAGTTCTAGTTCAGTTCTAGTTCAGTTCTAGTTCAGTTCTAGTTCAGTTCTAGTTCAGTTCTAGTTCAGTTCTAGTTCAGTTCAGTTCTAGTTCAGTTCAGTTCAGTTCTAGTTTAGTTCAGTTCTAGTTTAGTTTTAGTTCAGTTCTAGTTCAGTTCTAGTTCAGTTCTAGTTCAGTTCTAGTTCAGTTCTAGTTCAGTTCTAGTTCAGTTCTAGTTCAGTTCTAGTTCAGTTCCAGTTCAGTTCTAGTTCAGTTCTAGTTCAGTTCTAGTTCAGTTCTAGTTCAGTTCTAGTTCAGTTCTAGTTCAGTTCTAGTTCAGTTCTAGTTCAGTTCTAGTTCAGTTCTAGTTCAGTTCTAGTTCAGATCTGGTTCAGTTCTAGTTTAATTCTAGTTCAGTTCTAGTTCAGTTTTAGTTTAGTTCTAGTTCAGTTCTAGTTCAGTTTTAGTTCAGTTCTAGTTCAGTTCTAGTTCAGTTCTAGTTCAGTTCTAGTTCAGTTCTAGTTCAGTTCTAGTTCAGTTCTAGTTCAGTTCTAGTTCAGTTCTAGTTCAGTTCTAGTTCAGTTCTAGTTCAGTTCTAGTTCAGTTCTAGTTCAGTTCTAGTTCAGTTCTAGTTCAGTTCTAGTTCAGTTCTAGTTCAGTTCTAGTTCAGTTCTAGTTCAGTTCTAGTTCAGTTCTAGTTCAGTTCTAGTTCAGTTCTAGTTCAATTCTAGTTCAGTTCTAGTTCATTTCTAGTTCAGTTCTAGTTCAGTTCTAGTTCATTTCTAGTTCAGTTCTAGTTCAGTTCTAGTTCAGTTCTAGTTCAGTTCAGTTCTAGTTCAGTTCTAGTTCAGTTCTAGTTCAGTTCTAGTTCAGTTCTAGTTCAGTTCTAGTTCAGTTCTAGTTCAGTTCTAGTTCAGTTCTAGTTCAGTTCTAGTTCAGTTCTAGTTCAGTTCTAGTTCAGTTCTAGTTCAATTCTAGTTCAATTCTAGTTCAGTTCTAGTTCATTTCTAGTTCAGTTCTAGTTCAGTTCTAGTTCATTTCTAGTTCAGTTCTAGTTCAGTTCTAGTTCAGTTCTAGTTCAGTTCTAGTTCAGTTCTAGTTCAGTTCTAGTTCAGTTCTAGTTCAGTTCTAGTTCAGTTCTAGTTCAGTTCTAGTTCAGTTCTAGTTCAGTTCAGTTCTAGTTCAGTTCTAGTTCAGTTCTAGTTCAGTTCTAGTTCAGTTCTAGTTCAGTTCTAGTTCAGTTCTAGTTCTAGTTCAGTTCTAGTTCAGTTCTAGTTCAGTTCTAGTTCAGTTCTAGTTCAGTTCTAGTTCAGTTCTAGTTCAGTTCTAGTTCAGTTCTAGTTCAGTTCTAGTTCAGTTCTAGTTCGTTCTAGTTCAGTTCTAGTTCAGTTCTAGTTCAGTTCTAGTTCAGTTCTAGTTCAGTTCTAGTTCAGTTCTTCTAGTTCAGTTCTAGTTCAGTTCTAGTTCAGTTCTAGTTCAGTTCTAGTTCAGTTCTAGTTCAGTTCTAGTTCAGTTCTAGTTCAGTTCTAGTTCTGTTCTAGTTCAGTTCTAGTTCAGTTCTAGTTCAGTTCTAGTTCCCAGCAAAAAAAATTTGAAGTTGTTAAAGAAGAAGGGATATTTTCATGATTTCTTTTGTACGTATTCTATTTAATGCGTTTTAAATACATGCCTAATTCTAATATATTTGTCATCAGTGAAGGCATGAAAAATGCACCCAAATTCACTCATGTAACTCCACTATAGGAATTGTAATATTTTACTATAATTTGGTATTCTCTTAGGAGATTTACGAAAACGTGCATTTCATACAATAAATATTAAAAATTACATTAATTTTTTTATTAGATTTTTGTTTTTGTAGGTACCTACCTACCTAGTAATATTAAGTCCATTTTAACATTAATAAGAGAAGGAAAAAAACCAAGACTGTTTAACGGATTTTAAAACACAATGGGTATTTTTCCTCTGCATGAATTTAAATCCCATAAAAATCAGTTAGTTATGTTTTATCTTATTTTATTTTATTTTTATCAATATCACACAAAAAAATTATTTAAATATTGATAATTAAATCGAAATACCATTATTAATGCATTTTTAAATAAATATAGTGCACCAATGAAAATTCGCTTGAGAATCATCGAATATTCATTGGTTATAAGAACTCATTTAAATGGCGAACTATTTTTCCAAATACGAACACATGCATGCCAATGACACGCTAATGTTAAAATCATGCATGTTTCCCCTAAATATGAACCAGTTCATTATCAGTTCAACCCATGCATTTACTACTTTTTTTGCACGTCTTTTTTTGCTGGGTTCTAGTTCAGTTCTAGTTCAGTTCTAGTTCAGTTCTAGTTCAGTTCTAGTTCAGTTCTTGTTCAGTTCTAGTTCAGTTCTAGTTCAGTTCTAGTTCAGTTCTAGTTCAGTTCTAGTTCAGTTCTAGTTCAGTTCAAGTTCAGTTCTAGATCAGTTCTCTATCAGATCGGGTTCAGTTGTGGTTTTAGATCAGCCCGAGTTCATTTTTTGTTCATTTCTAGTGCAATTGTAGAATAATTCATTTCTAGATCACTTCTAATTAATTTCGAGTTTAGTTTTATATCAGTTCTAGTTCAGTTGTAGTTCTGTTCTAGTTCAGTTCTAGTTCAGTTCCAGTTCAGTTCTAGTTTAGTTCTAGTCAGTCTAGTTCAGTTCTAGTTCAGTTCTAGTTCAGTTCTAGTTCAGTTCTAGTTCAGTTCTAGTTCAGTTCTAGTTCAGTTCTAGTTCAGTTCTAGTTCAGTTCTAGTTCGTTCTAGTTCAGTTCTAGTTCAGTTCTAGTTCAGTTCTAGTTCAGTTCTAGTGCAGTTCTAGTTCAGTTCTAGTTCAGTTCTAGTTCAGTTCTAGTTCAGTTCTAGTTCAGTTCTAGTTCAGTTCTAGTTCAGTTCTAGTTCAGTTCTAGTTCAGTTCTAGTTCAGTTCAGTTCTAGTTCAGTTCTAGTTCAGTTCTAGTTCAGTTCTAGTTCAGTTCTAGTTCAGTTCTAGTTCAGTTCTAGTTCAGTTCTAGTTCAGTTCTAGTTCAGTTCTAGTTCAGTTCTAGATCAGTTCTCTATCATATCGGGTTCAGTTGTGGTTTTAGATCAGCCCGAGTTCATTTTTGTTCATTTCTAGTGCAATTGTAGAATAATTCATTTCTAGATCAATTCTAATTAATTTCTAGTTTAGTTCTATATCAGTTCTAGTTCAGTTCTTGGGCAGTTGAGTTCTAGTTCAATTCTAATTAATTCTAGTTCAGTTGTACATCATATCCAGTTCTGTAGTCTTTTTAGTGTAATTATAGCTGTTTGTAAGTAGGTTCTTCGATAAATTAATAAAGCAAACTTAAAAACTTAAGATCTTAAAAGTACACTTCTCTTATAACTTATCGATTTAATTTTCTATATTTTTCTATTAACTCCCCCTGTTGAAAACTCTTAACACCTACTGTTCTCTTGCAATTTTCTCCTTTAAGGTTAAGTTGAAAGTTTTTGTTTTTGTGGTGATCATGGAAGATAGTTGTTTTTTTCGAAATCAATAGAAAGTATGAATGTGTAGAAAATTAAATTCATGTAAAATCATACAATAACAAAAACATGAATGGCATGATACGAACGTTACGCGTTATTTAGATGAATAAACGAAATGTTCTAAATGTTTCTAAATATCTTAATGATAACTGACGACTTTCGCTTTAGATTTGTTTGCTATTTAACTTAAACTCTGACTACATACTACTACTCACCACCTTATCCGCAGCTAGATTTAGCTGTTGTTGTTGCTGATGTTGCTGCTGCTGTTGACTCTGTTGTTGCTGTTGCTGAGCCTGTTGCTGTTGTTGCTGCTGCTGTTGTTGTTGCATGGCCAAAAAGGTATTTGATATCATTGTTGGTGTATTCCAACTCAGCGTAGTCGGTGTTATGGTCGAGGTGGTGGGCGATGGTGAAGCACCACTTGAAGATGAATTCTCACCATAATAATTTGTGGCGGCTGCAGCATTATTGACTACAGCGGCTGCTGCCGAGGAGACGGCAGCTATAGCAGCTTGATTTTGGAATGAGGTCAATTGTTTATCCAAAGTGGCGGGTATTTGTAATTGGCGATGTGGTGTATTAACAGCCGACGAGGCATAATGGGCAGGTTTTGGTTGTACAGCACTGGCAGCGGCCGCATGATGATAGATTTGTTGGAAAACTGGATTGTAGCCACTGATGGGTGAGGGCGATACAAAGCTACCGCCACCGGCTGCAATATTTGCCGCAATATTAGAATGAGCCGCCTGCAAGAGTAATGACTGGGCACTCGAGGCCAAGTGCGGATGTTGAAAATCTTCAGCCGACGTTGTACTACTGGCCGCTGGTACTATGCGATTGTAGGCATAAGGCCAGGGACTCGAATTTGGGTCCATGGTGACTCACGCTTTTTGCAACAACACAAAACTTTTTATATACACACTCTTCTCTACTGCAACACTCAGAAAAACTAAAAACAAAAACATTTAGAAAAAACACAACATAGCATAAGAAAAAATAGATTTTCATCTCATTACATAAAATTATGTGCGTTTTTTCTAGCGTACTTACCTATTTTATTAATATTTACTCCAAAAACAATAAGAAAAATGAAAATTTCTAGATTTTATTAACAAAAATAACCTGCCCGCCGTCTTGGCTCCCTTATTTTTTTCTATTTTTTGTGTAAATTTTTTCTTACTATCAAACTTTTTTTGACGTTTTTCTTCTACTACATAAATGAAAATTGTACTTGTCCTCCTCTTTTTCCGTTTCGTTTTTTTTTTCTTTTCTTTTTTTTATTTGGGGTCTTTTTTTATTGTTGTATTGTATGTTGAAGGTGTTTGTGTATGTATGTGTATCGCGTTCTTCTTGTTAAATTGTCTATCATCAATCACGTCCAACACTTTTAATTGTCATTTTTTGCTATAGAATTTTCCCAATTAATTTAGGAAATTTCTTGCTTTTTTCCATTATTATATATTAAACACTATTTACACTTGCGTTTTATGTAAATATTAACAAATTTTATTAGCAATTTCGTTGTTATTTTATAAAAATTTATGCACTATTTTTACTTCGTCTTGTCTCAAAGCGCCATTTTAGAAAAATATGGCAGTCACAGAGAAAAAAGGAAGATATATGAGAAAAAGAAGAAGAAGCAGTTGAAAAAGGGAGAGAATAATTTGTGTATTGTCAGTGCAATTGTAGGTGTAGTAACGGCTTTTAAGGGAAAATTATTGATTTTTGGGTTTAAAATGAAAGAAATGCGAGAAAAACTTAATATAGTTAATAGAAAATTTAATTTTTTAT